ATACAAAATAAGGAGCTGCAGGCCACAAACTTACTCAAAATTACAAATCATGTTTTCAGTCATTACAGCTCCTTATTTCCACAAACAAAAGTGCAAAAACTAAACACAAACCAGAAAACTTTATTCTCTGTGACTCAGAATAAGAAGTAATTCCCCAACATTCACTGCTGTCGTTTCTTGGTGTTGCCCAGATGTTTACTGTTTGGGTGAATCTTCATAATAATAATCTGTATTTATAAATCATCTGTCATGTACAAGGTGCTGCACAACAGAAAATAATAAAAACCAGTATATACCATTCTAATAAAGGATCCCAGAAACTTAAACAAGATGTAAAAAATCATGGATAAACTCCCTGCAAGCAGCTTTCAGACCCAACAAAACCACTAAGGTCAGCTCAAGTGACTTTGAAAGGAGCGGTGTTGCCTGACACCGATGACCTGAGCGTTTACGAACAAGAGTCTCCGAGGTGTTCGTTCAGCCCTGGAAATGTTTTACCTCTGTGACTTTGTCGAGCCTCAGTTAATTTATTGCTTTGGTTTTATGGCACATCGGCTGCTTGGTTCGGTTTCCTCACTCACATGAGTCCAGAGGCAGAAGGCGGCTGTTATCAGCAAACAGGCTCCGTGTGCAACCTCAAGTTATTGATCAGCCGGCGGACACAGAGAAGCATTTAGCAGCTAAAGAGGCAGATATTTTCTCTCAGGCACTAAATGGAGGCTGAATATTGCACATGACTCTAAATCACTGATAGTGCAGCTCAGTGTCTGCTGCTCGCTCAGACATTAGTCACCAGAACTCCATGATATGACAGTTTCACTGCCCTCAAGTGGCCAAAACATGGATTAATGCATATTTAAGTAAAGTTTAAATGCAGGACTGAGTATTTGGACTTTTTTTTTCATGCACTGTTCATTTTTGAGATTTGCTTTGCTTCCACAACTTGTTTCCTTTCAGATTAGTAAAAATAAATGGTGATGATACACATTTAGGTGTTTATGTTGCTGCTCTTTGTGTAATTGCATCTGAAACTTTTAAATACTATGATTCAGATATCATTCATAACCTCATTCATCCAACAGTTTATTCCTAAAAACACAGTGAAAATGGATTGTTTATTTTTTTAGTTCTGGCTGTTGACAGTACTTTCTGATTTATAGAGAGATAAAAAAAAAAAAAGACATCCATCCACCTTTTATTCTAAAATGTCAACAACAACAATGAAACAAGAATTATTAATGTGGTTTTATCAGACGTTTAAATTTCTGTTGTGGGAATTTCATGAAATTGGTGCACATCCATGAAATCAAATCAAATTTATTCATATGACACATTTTAAAACAACGTGACCAAAGTGCTGCACAAGTTTTAAGACAGACAGGCATAGTATAGTGAATTATAATGTGGTACAGTACAGTACAGTACAGTACAGTACAGTACAGTACAGTATAGTATAGTATAGTATAGTATAGTATAGTATAGTATAGTATAGTATAGTATAGTATAGTGCAGTACAGGATAGTATAGTGCAGCACAGTATAGTATAGTATAGCATAGTGCAGTACAGTATAGTGCAGTACATAATAGTATAGTATAGTATAGTATAGTGCAGTGCAGTATAGTATAGTGCAGTACAGTACAGTACAGTACAGTACAGTACAGTACAGTATAGTATAGTATAGTATAGTATAGTATAGTATAGTGCAGCACAGTATAGCACAGTATAGCACAGTATAGTATAGTCTAGTCTAGTATAGTATAGTATAGTATAGTGCAGTGCAGGATAGTATAGAGCAGCACAGTATAGTATAGTATAGTATAGTATAGTATAGTGCAGTACAGTATAGTGCAGTACATAATAGTATAGTATAGTGCAATACAGAATAGCATAGTATAGTGCAGTACAGCATAGCATAGCATAGCATAGTATAGTATAGTATAGTATAGTATAGTATAGTATAGTATAGTGCAGTGCAGTGCAGTATAGTACATTTTATTGTGGTAGAGTGTAGTATAGAACACTATAGTACAGTATTATAAAGAACTGTATAGTATAGCCTAGTATAGTACAGTATAGTATTACATAAAACATATGATAATATAGTACATCATAGCACATTATATTACGGTATAGAACATTATACTGTAGTATAATATGGAACATTATACTGTAGTATTGTATAGTATAACATAGCATAGTCTGAATAGAACATTAAGCAATAATACATTTAGTAATAAAAATACTAATACAGTGTATTGTGGTGTATTATACTGAAGTATAGTTTTGTACATTGTCATGTAGTATAGGATTTAATAGTACATCATTGAACATACATTATATTTTAGACGTTTTCTCTGAGTCAGCAAAGAAAACAAATTGTTGTTGCGTATGTTTATATTTGTGCAGTGCCACCACTTGGAATAACTCTCAAGAACAACAAATCATTTCCAGGTTGTCAGGGAGCTGCGGAAACGTCGTCTTCAAAATAAAAGCTCAACGGCTGCGCGGGCCTCCGCTTTTATTGTGAAAGCCCAACGCTGGAAACTCGGCGTCTTCGTTAGCCGTTAGCTGACAGAGCTGCCGCTGAGCCCCAGCACAGAGTGTGCGTTGATGGTGGACCGTTCCCGGTGAAAAACACCGACCCCCGGCCGCACGAAAAAATGCCTCACCGTCGCGTGTGAACGGCGGAAAGTCTCGGAGGGACAGAGTCCGGTCTCCACACGGGTTTAGAGCCAAACGACAGCAGGATGTTGCAAGTTTTAGCTTGTGGCGCCGTAGTTTTCCCCGGTCTGTTCTTCGCCTTCAGGAGGATCCTGCCGTGTGTGTTCAAACACTGGAGCGATGCCGACGTGGTGCTGGTCAGCGAGAGGTACACCGGCTAAATCCATCACTTTAACCCGCACTGCCGGGCTGAGCAGCGGCCAGGGTTAGCTTAGTGCCAGCTCTCAAGCTAACTCCGCTAGCTTGTTAGTGTGTTGAGCTTTATCTCAGATGTAGCCCCGCAAGTACCAGCATAGCCCTGGCTATGTGACTGGTATTATACTAGTATACGTTTTGTTTTTAATGTGCTTTGTGCAAAAGGGGGGTGAATAATCATTTAAACATGGTGTACTGTAGTATAGAATATTATCCCAGAGTACAGTACATTATAATGTGGTACAGTGTGTTATAATACAGTACAGTATTGTGTAGTACCACATAGAACCTGGTGTAGGATACTACAGTGTGGTATAGGCTAGTTTAGAACATTATAGTGCAATATGTAGCAGTATAGCATAATATAGTGTCGTATGGTGCAATAACCATGTAGTATAGTGTAGTACAGAACATTATACTACCATCTGCAACAGAACGTAGTACAGAATATAGTATTAAACATTATAGTGTCGTATAATACAGTACATTGTAGTGCAGTGCAGTAATGTATATTATAATATACCAAAGTGCAGTACATTATGGTATAGTATGGTACATTATAGGGCAGTATACTATGACAACGGTTTTTTTTTTGCAAATATCACAGCAAACTCTGGGTTCCTGTATGAAAGCACCAGAGCAGCCTGATTCCTGACAGACGTCCTTTACAATCTGTATTTTTGTGCGGTTTGCATGACAAATTTAAAAGTTGTACCAACGAGTGTTCACGTCCAGAACGAAGCCCGGGACTCCGAACCGGTCCGCACGAGAAGTGACGTTTTTATTGGAGCTGGAGCGAACCTGAGCCTGATCAATGCGCCGTTATGAGTTTGTGAACAGACACAATGAGTCACTACATCAGCAACTTCTCCGGCTTTACATCTCGCAAGTCGGAAAGTGGCAGTAATTAATATATAGTGAGTCCTGTGTGGGGGGGCTGTGGTGTGACTTGCTCGCATGTGCACGGCTCAGTTCAATGCTCATTTGTAGGCTGTCACTCCGCCTAATCCTCTGGTCAGCGCCGACTGCTGAGTTAGCTATGCACTGGAAAACACTGAACCGCTACTCCTGAATAACGCTAATTCACTAATGCTCAGCTCTCGGAAAATGTTGTTCTTACAAGCATCCAGGCCTCGGGGGATGTCACGCTGCTCGGTCTCCACCACCACCAAACCAACCCTTCATATCTGCTGATACCCAGCTTCAACCTCGCTGGTGGTTTTGAGTTTGGTGGAACAGGTTCAGCAGGTTCCCGGTTAACGGCTCTGTGTAGCTGTTAACATGTTCTGTGTCTAATAACTTTGCATTTAATGTTTTAGTTTTACATCACGATGCTCATGTGAAGTGATGAGTTAGGCTGCTGTGAGTTGGCCTTTCCATCACCTTTTAACTTAAACATGCAATGTTTGCTTAAGAGACTGTTTAAAAGAGGCAGAAATATCCACCTCTCAGTGTGTTTACAAAAAGAAATGGGTCAAACTAATCAAACAAGTGATCATACGATTCCCACCGTGCCATGTGATCGCATTCCTTATTTAATCGTCTCTATATTCATGGCAACTCCTCAGGCCTTAGGCTGTTTTTTTTTTTTATTTTCACCTGTGAAAACACCTTCAAATTCAGTCAGCAGCAGCTCCGCAATTCTCAGAGCTGAACAAAAACATATGGTATACATGGACAATAGACACATGAGAGAATTATGAAATACGACGAGTCCCCAGAGTTGAGGGAAAACTCCAGCCAAATGTTGTTTTTTTTGTTTCCTCCCAATCAAAATTGAATCCACCGAATCGGTAGCAAACGACGCTCTTGTTGTTCTAAACTGTAGCTCTTAAAATACGATTCAATAGACGTGAAGCATTTTAGTCAGAGTAGTGAAAGGTGGCCTCTTTGTTTTGGCCGTTTGGAGAGCTTAAGGGCGAGTGTGCCACACTCTGCGACCTTCTCAAATTGGCCAAAACCGGTTGCGATTTAGAAACGGATGCAGCCCGGTGCTTGAACCACTCAGGCTGAAAGGGTTGCTCTCCGTATCCTGGTTTGTAGCACAGACTTTCTGCTAAATCATTTGTATAAACATGCATGTACCAACCTTACATTAGCTGTGACTGAATGTAAAGTTCTCCACTCTCGCTTCTTTTGCCTCTCATCTCTGTTCATGAAGCAGACTCGGCTAACAAACAGTTTCAACAAACACATCTTAGCATCAATTCATGCAGCTCTGTGCAAATTTGCCTTTAAAATTTACTCTTGACAGGCGGGGTTGTGTGTGATGAGTAAACAGTTTCGGATGGGTGAACCTGGTGAAACACCCCTTTAATCTGAGCCCTGCAGAAGAAGGGAGCTGCATTTCATTATGTTAAGTGACATATGTTATCTGTAAATGACAGACTGTTTAAACGGAGGTGAGCGTGTTCCTGAGTCAGCACAATCAGATGTAATACACACCATGATTTCTTGAAAGGCAGTAAGGAAGGCGTTGTCTAACGAGTGTACATCACTGAGAAATGGCTGTTGTGAGACTGTATGGCTCAGAAGTATTGAAAGGATGACAGATGGGAGAAAACTTTCTCTATTCTTAACACTAGTTGGGCATTTAAAAAAAAAAAAAGAAGCAAAGGTGCAGAGTTTATTATCTGTGGAGCTGCAGCTTATTTAAATTATTCCGCCAGCTATTTTTATTGATCTTTTTGGTCGATAAAAGCAATTGCAGTTTCTTAAAATCTAAGGTGACTTCTTTCAGTACTCGGTTCATTATTCGGTAAAATACTAAAAAGCTTCCAAAAGAGAAGCTGGAACCAGGAAAGAGTCGGCGTTTGGGCTTTATATGTGACTCCAGTGATCGATTCAGTGCTGATTAATCGATTAATCAACTAACACTTGAGCTCCAATCATTGGGCAGCAGCCATCTTAGTGCATGTCGGACTTTCTAAGCGGTCCTCTGTCAGGGTGCTAATGCTAGCAGCATGCTAACACACAGTGTGTCATGAAGGATTTAACGTGATCATTTTGTGCTACCTTGGTAATATACCTGTACCTGTTTGTGTACTGTGGAGATCCAGCTTTTGTGAGTGCTGTGTCTGCCACACGGGGACAGCTTCCTCATATGTTTAGTGTATTTAGGAAAATGGGAAATGGGAAGTGAGTGTCAGCAGTCTGACCGAGCAGACAAACGGCCAGCTGCTTTACATGAGCCACGGATCATTTTCAAGGAAGTACAGAAAAGAGCTGATACATCAGTGCCGTAGGCTGTATAAATAAACAGGAATAACTTCCAGGTCTGGAGAGGGGAGTTATTGAGCCAGCAGGGGGCGCAACCCGTGGTCGCAAGAAACAAAAAAAAAAAGCCAGATTGTTTGGACAACTCTCTGCTTCTCATTTGATTTGTTGTCTTAGTAAATGTTTTCTTAAGGATCTCATGGTCTCAATCACTAGTTTTAAGTCTCCTTCAGTGTAGCATGACGTTCATTTTGTGAATTATGGTCTCATTTAGAGGAAAACTGATGAGAAAGTAGAGAGTGCTTGAGGATGTGGTGACTTCGTGATGACCTCGTTAGCTCGCGTGTTACATCCACTTTCAATAAACCAAGATGGGAAACTCGAGACTTGAAAATGTCCGTCCACAAACTGACGGACGACTTCACAGTGGATCTGTCTGTTCAGTTTGTACGCTCTAACACCAAAAAAAAGGCAGAAGATGAGAACTCAAAACGACGGCGTACTATAGCAAAGCCTTAGCCCACTTTAAAGAACGACACTTGACTTCACGAGGGATTATATTGCTCGCCATCACCCAGCTTAAGAGCCTTATGGCCTCCGTTATGGTTTGCCTTTTAGGTTTTATACAGGAGCAGCAGTGCCCCTAATGTAAGGACTTGTTCTGTTAATGCTGCCTCGACTGCACAGTTCAGTCCTCATTAACCACCAGCAACCTCAAACACAGTGAAGTAGCTCTTCACTGCTGAAAATGTGAGTTACTTTTGCCCTCCTTAGACATAAAACGGGGTGGATTAAGTGTTCGGTTCACACTTGTGATATGATGCAGTCTCGTGCAAGGTCACCACAATCTTAAGCCTTGAAGGATGAATCTAGAAAATGCCTCCCACGTGTCTTTCCTGTTGATGTTGTGGGTCATGCTAACTTTGTGCAATTTGCCTCTGCTGTAGGGATTCAAGCAATCTGAGCTGCACGAAACAGTACTTGAATGCCGTCTAAAACGTGGCAAAAACATGTGCTCCCTGTAGCTTCTTTAAAAGATTACGTTTTTACATATAAACACAGAAATTAGTATTCCGCTAACTGTAGCGCCACATATGGAGGCTTCCTGTTTGACTTGCTAATTTATCTATGTCAATTAAGTGCGTCTTTTAGTGACATTTTTAAACATGGAGTCAGTTAAGCAAATTTTTAATCAGCAAAAGTGTAAAGTAGGTGTTCCCAGTACTGTGACTGCTCGCAAACTGGTTAAGAAACAAAGCAGCAAGTCATGTTGCTGCATCCATTTGTGCGATTGTGGGGTTGTGATAGGAAGGGTGGGGGAGAGAGAGAGAGAGAGTTCCTTCTTGCCTTGAAATGCACTTTACCCTGTTTGCTTTTTTTGCCTCTGCTGTCACTTTTTCTTTTGCTCTGCTGCAGTGCCCATGGACCCACCGATTACGTAGCCCATTTACTTACTAGAGGGGCAAAAAAAAAAATAGAGAAAAAAAAGCCCTCCACTCCTGACTGTCAGACGCTGTGTGTGTGACAGAACATGAAAGCGGTCCGTGTACAGCGAAACAGTCGGTAGGAAGACGTGGTCGCAGTTAAAGGGAAGCCGAGGTTCTCGCTGGCCTGACACAGCAGGAAAGAAAAGACAACATTGCCGAACAAGGCAGCGAAGCATTCTTCCCTTTTTCCCCTCCGCACGCTCCTCACCCCGTCAACCTCAACCTTTCAGCAGCAGGGAGAGGGGGTTATTGGCGGACACACAATGAATTGGCTGTGTAAAATCTGGGTCTTGTGACAGTATGCGACCATGCAGCCCTACAAGGCAGCCCGGCGTGGGGGTAAAATGTGTGTGTGTGTTGTGGGATTGAATCTGCAGAGAGAGAGAGAGGCAAGTTGGTCTTTTCCCAGCTCAGGCCTTGTAGTTTTGTACCCGCCGGTCACGTGGACCGCGTTGCCTTGCCGATGCCGGTGTCATGGCCGCATTCCCCCGTCGAGATCGGTGTGAGGTGACGGCGGGTTCAAGCAGGAACGCACATAAATACTCCCTTTGTTTCCCGGTCTTGCCATTTGCAACACACCATTAAAAAAAGAAAGAGAGCAGTCTCCTGACCTTGTAAAACTGGTCTCTGCTCCGATTAGCTGGGACCTGATCCGGGGCCTGGGGCGGACCGAGTCCAAATGAAATTTACCCTAATCAGATGTGGGTGTTGGTCCGGGTTTAGAGCTTTGTGACCGTCTGTGTAGTACCTCAGTAGATCCACTGGGACCCTGCATCATCATCATCATCATCATCATCATCATCACAAGGGGGGGACATGTACTGTTTGTGGCAGACGAATTCCCACCCACGGTTGGGTACGCGTGTCAGCTGTGGAAAATTTGCGAAATGTAAGCATCATAGCATGAAATCTGGTTTTATAGCCGCTGCAACTTGTGAAAGTAACGAAAAGGGCATGTAGGGAGTGCTGTCACCCGCGAAGGCCGACGCGCTGTCTTTCAATCTTAAAGAAAATGATTTGGATCTGCGCCATAATTGAACCGGCAGTGCTCCACCTCTCCTCTCCGCCAGGTTTCATGGAACTTCGCCGGCTAGTTTTTCGCGCAACTTACCAAGAAAACGGCGCCGAAAACAAGCTTTCACTTTGATACGAAATAGAATAATCCCCCAAATGTCAACACGGAGTTGCACTGACGAGATCCAGAGTTGTGGTTGTTGTTCGCGTGTTAGCAGTTGAGAGCGACAGTTGCGGTACCGTTTGTTTTTGCTTTATTTAATTTATCGACTTATTGATTGCCAGCCGGTTACAGCCCAGGTGAACTGGAGACTGGAAACTCAACACAGTGGCATAGAAACGCTGCTGCTAACTGGTGCTTTGATGCTATCACACCAGTGCACAAGTATAAATACTCACAGCAGTGTATTCCACATGGCAGTCTGTAGATTCAACATAGGTCCAGTTCTCCAGAAGATTTACCGCGAGTGATGAAGTTCTGTCGCTGCTTGGGTTTGTTGAAGTTTGGGATCAGTTGTAATCATCCTAAGGTCGCCGTCTGATTGGGTATATGGGTTTTCTGTGGGTCCGTTTACGAGTGGGCCAACAAATGTGACTCCAGAACACAGAACTGTCGCATACGGACAGACCCGGCTGCAGCTAATGATTATTTTCATCGTCTGTCGATTAATTAATTAGTCGTTTGATCTCGTAAATGTGCACTGGATGTATTGTCTGATAATAATGAATACAGAAAGATATCATGTTAAGTATTTGGGTCGTATTGTTGAGCCCAACAGAGGACCATGAACATCTAATGAAAAAAGCCTCGGCAGTTTGACCCGCGGTTCTCGAGACATGAACAAGCTGAACACGTAAGCCCTCGGCTCGCACTGCAGAATCTTAGTAAATAAATACTGAACATGATTATGTTTCTGACTTTTTGACTTAATCCGGACCTTTAAACCCCATGATTCCTCCCGTAATCCTGTTTTTATTTGGAAAAAATCTGGTTATAGCACAGCACTAAAGAAGAAAACGCTGAGTATTTATGCACATATCTTTCATTTCTGGTGGCAAAATAAATTGATAATCCTCAGCACTGTACTTTCCTCGTGCAGTGTTAATCCTCTGCAAGGCCTCCGAATCGCAAGAAACGTGTAAATCAGAAATTTGTTTTCTTTGTAGCCCACACAAGTCTCTCATCCATTATGAACAAGGGCTGAGTAATTGTCCCACTTGCAGTTTCACAAGGTAACCTGTGTTTGTCTCGATTCATTGCTGTGGGTGGTGATGTAAACCAGACCCACAGGGAAAATCATTCCTGAACAAAGTGCTGCTTTAAAGGGGCGACTGTCTATTACGGCTGCAGTGAGTGCCGGGGAATAAATTACATGTTTTCTGATTTCAAAGCAGCTTACTGTCAGTGCTGCCAAGCTGGAGAGCAGCCAGAGAGAGAGCTTGTCCGAGCAGAAGCAGTCATTCATGGTTTGAACAAATTGGTGATATAATCCAGCGTCCTGTTTTAATTTGGACAAACAAAAAATAAAACTCTGTTGAGCCACTGGAGGAAAATCAGCGTGTCTGTGACTGTGAACTGAACATTCGTCACGTTTTCTCAGCGCAGTCACAGGACACCAGTCAAAGTGGACTCATTGTACACGTTCAGGTTACTACGAAACATCTCGGAAGGTCACGAGTTGTGAGTACACGCTGAAGATAAGTGTGAGGCCCGTGAATGTCGTGTGTGCCCAATGCCACCACACAGTGACACTTCAAATAGAGATGCACCGAGTTCTCCTATGTCACAGGTCTGTTTATAGACGAGGAAAGTTGAGGCCAAGCACTGCTAATCCTACGATGGTACGCTGAACTTGAAAGTCTGACGGCCCGAGTAGCTCACCTGAAGGGACGCTTGTTGAACGCTTGACCTACATTTATCAAAGAGGCATCAATCACACGGGTAGCCCAACAAATCAACCATACGATATGGTGTTTGATGAATACGTCAGGTTTACCGAACCCTTCCAAGAACACCAGATATCAGAGGCTAGCGTCTTAATCTTTGTGTGTGTGCTTTCTGTTTTCATAGTTGTGACAGAAGACCAAGCTTTAACAACAGGATGACAACAGGAACAAGTCTTTTACTGGTGATGTCGAGATGTCACCGTTTTCCTTGATAATTTACACTTTAACCGTTGTGGATTAGCTGTAGTAGCTGGTATTGCTTTGTGTAATAAGTCAGTTATTCAAATTCATAACGCGAGCCTGACATAGACAAAGGATCGGACTTGGGTTCTTGCCGATACACATCCATCCATTATCTATACCCCGCTTAATCCTCACTAGGGTGGTGGGGGGCTGGAGTCTATCCCAGCTGACTCAGGGTGAAGGCAGGTTCACCTGGACAGGTAACCAGTCTATCACAGGGCTACACTTAGAGACAGACAACCAAGCACACTCACATTCACACCTACGGACAATTTACAATCACCAATTAACCTCAGCATGTTTCTGGACTGTGGGAGGAAGCCGGAGAACCCGGAGAGAACCCACGCTGCACGGGGAGAACATGGAGACTCCACGCAGAAGGATCCGGGTGTCCTCACCGGGACCCGAGCCACCGACCTTCTAGCTGCGAGGCAACGGTGCTAACCACCGCTCCACCTTGCAGCCCTCGATACACATCAGTTACAAACATTTAAATCCATTCATTCATAAACTCGTTGCATTAATCGTCGTCCAATCCTGATCAAACCACTGCAGACCAATACTAGGAGTCTCCAAGCGTGCTAGCAACGCTTACAGCTCAGCTGATCTTTAAACTATTTGTGCTGCATTCAGTGGCAGCTTGAAACTCAAAATATTCATTATCTGCCCAGAAAAACTAAAAGAAAACACCACAAGAAGTCCCGTTTCCTGCTGGGTAACTCTGATAAGGAATCTCAGCCTCAACTTCTGCATTTTGTGTTATTCACTGATATAAGTAATGTGTGCACTATGAGCTCAAAACCTTCTAAAACATTAGACCGTATACTTTTAGCGCTTTTTTTTGTTTTGCTCTTGTGTACCTACAGATAGGTGAACTACATTTATCTTGACGAGCATTTGTTGATGATAGAAAAGGGCCAAAACAAACCTAGATGCGTCGACTGAGCAGAGGTCAAAAATTATTTAATCTTGAGGATGAAAGCGGGTCCATTTCCAAGATACATCGTATGAGCAATGCATTTCCTGATTAGTACAGCAGAGGATGATTTGATGGCAGTAGATAGAAACTAAATGGTTCACTGAAGTTTTTAGGATTCGTCCCGACAAAGGCACGAATCCATCATGTAGCTGTCAAGACACAGTCAGAACCACAAACATTAACCTCATTTAGTCGCTAAAGGTCCACCAAAGTGATTCTAATGCCTCCTCTGGGGATAACAAACGTCCGTATGGAACCCATTTACCCCTTCTTTTTTTCCACCCTGGATCAACAGAGCCACTCGACTACAATGGCTTAAAAATGACACACAAATCCCCGACTTCTGTATTAGATGCTGTGACCGCCCAGCCTGCTATATGTGAATAAATATATAAATAGCGCTTCTCTCTCTCTAAATCTTTTTGTGTGTCTTTTTCAGACTGGTGTCCTCCATCCATGCTGCCATGGCAACCACAGCAGGAGTCATCGTTGTGTCATCATGCCGGGGAAATGTCATTAATGACAGGTCAGACTTCAACTTATCAAGCGTCTCAGTGAAACACTGGTTACCAGTAATAACACAGAGGTCTGACTCTCCTGATGTGGAACAACAGGCAGCTTTCCACTGACGGACCTTCGGACGCTCACGAGGTTGCATCAGCATTTACAGGAAGGACCCTCTGTTTGGCCCTTTTGGCCTTTTTGTTTCTCTTGCGATGTAGGATGCGACCGCTTCGACCACGCCGTCGATTCAAGCAACAACTACTGAACGCAGCGCCACTTCTCGGGGCTTGTAGGATGATGTATGATGAAATCTATCATTTCAAAGAGTCCTCTTGACCTCCTGACCAGAAGATTTGTAGCACCAACAGCCTTCCAACAACTAAATTACTTTATTTTGATTGTCTTTTGAAACAGAAAACAGAAGTAACTATGACTGAAAAAGTACTTCAAACAAAACGGGACAAAAGCTGATTGTGGCAGTCAGTGTCTGGATGTGATGTAGCTCTGAGAAAGTCTGAAGACACAGATGTCTGTCTCTGAAGCAAACAAGGGTTGTTTGTGTACCAAGACTGTGATAGTCCAGGTTTAAGGCTGCCTTATAAGACCTTGGAGAAGCTATAACAGATAAACCGCACTGCAGAAGTTAACGCTAGCGACCTAAGAAATGTTGAGTTTTTTGTTATGTCTTTGCTTAGGCTGCGTTTGACCCACTTCACTCATTCAGCTAGCTGCTGCTTTCATTCAGGCCCTGCCTCCAGACCAGCCACCTGGCAGTGAGTTCATGTTAGCCATAGCTGTAGCCTCCCCTGTACAGTTTAGGAAAGTGTGACGCTAAGCTAATGCTAGCCCATTAATCCTCCTGAGTCAGCGGCTGGACCCGGGCAGTCCCAGTTCCAGGCTGCTAATCTCCGCCACCCCTCCCCTTCACCCACAAAGCTTAATTCCTCCACAACGCTGCTCAGTTCTGCTGTCCTGTGACGTGCACACGGCCTGCAGCTTATCAGACACATGCTCCCGAGTCAGACCCACGAACGCTCTAATACTGCATCACAATCTGTCGATGCATTTGGCCTGCATTGCCTCAGATGCAACTATTTTTGAAAGGTTTTTGGGTGACCAAACGTCCTAAAGTCTAACGTTTCTTAAAATACATGAACAGTTTGTGAAGTGTAGATGAGTGTTCAGATCTTAGACGACTGTAGATGAGCACAGTGCCGTTGTGTGTCCAGTAGAAACGATGCCCAAAGCTACAAAAGTAAGACCAAAGTCCTGTTCAGTCATACTTGTGTTGACACGCGATGAGCAAAGTTTGGGTTTTGCTTGAATTTACTGGCTTAAACGCCCGATTTATTAATGGGCTGCCACATTATCGCTATTGAGCCGGCTGAAAGACAAAAAAGTATTCTTTACTGCATGCTGCGCTGCCTGTCATCCATCTGAACATCCGTGAAGATGTTGCTCCTCTGATGGATTTTAAGCTTTTTGTGAATGGGTCTCCGTGTTATGTAGACGTATTCACAACACAACCTACATGAGTTTGTACCCAAAACGTTTCCCAAACTTTCATTTTTCATCGCCAACGCAGCCTCCATAATTCTCTGAACAGAAAAGCGGCAGCAGGAAGATGCAGAGAAAACAAAACAAAACACAACACGATGCTGATTCACCTCGTCGTCGTGTCATTTTTCAGGCACATTTAATTCGACAACCACTTTAATGTATAGAAATTTACAAGAGGTCCGTAGGTAATAGGCTCAATTTATTATTATTATCCCTGAAATAATATAACTTCACAAATCCTGCAGAAACATAATCATGACACTGGGTAGCACAAATCAGTCACACAAAACGCATGCAATACAATGCAATATGCTAATGCTAGCTAGCCAGAGGACCAGATAGTTCAACGCTTAATGGCTCCTCTAGGCTTGACTGTACTCCAGAATTTCAAACAGCAGTCTGGTCAGTTTTGGAGGATGTGTGTTGGCATGTATAGAAGCTAGATTTTTATGCGGAGGAGTGTTTCTCTTTGCCTTACAGCTCGTACATGCACCAAACCATCGACTGGCGTAGCCGTCGTTCTGTCTTAAGCTCTCTGTTGTGCTTTGCTGCTCTTAATCTCCATCCACTGACCTTAAGAGCTAAAGAGCCCAGCCAGAGGTCAGAGGTCAGTAGCTCAGCTCTGCCCTGCAGCTTTACTCCATTCTGTCCACATAATTAACCATCACGGTAATCGGTGCTCATTAGAGTGCTGCAGCTATCCAAGCTGTTTGTTATACTGTACTTACATAAGCCTGTCCTGAAGCCTTTATGTGCTCCGCATGTCGGAGAGGCGAGGCATGTAGGTTAAACGGGTGTCTTCCTGTGTTTACTTTTACTCACGCTAAAGGTCATTCAGTTTACCATCGACTGTAGCATCTTGTGGTCAATGAACACTGCGGCGGGGTTTTTCCTGCCTCACGAGGGGCCTTTGGAGGTAGAATACACACAGCAGGAACCGGAGTCAGTCCAAGTACAGGAGAGGCAATAAGTCCATGCTTCCTGATTTGATAGAAACCTACATGTAGTATATTTATTTCTGACCATTTGACAAACAGAAACGTCTATTTTCCTTGTGTAGATGGAACCTCAGTTCACAAAACTGGTTAAAAAAGAGTTATTTTTATTCTCCATTCGTATAATTTTACTTTAGAGCCGGTGCAAAACAAATCCTGTACTGGTCCTGTTCACTCCATATGAAACAGCTATGAGGTAACTTGTTTGGAGGGATGTTATATTTAGAATTAATCAGCATTCATATTCTTTTTCAGAAGACCCTTCAATAATATTTTCTTTGCAACTAAAGATATATGAAAAATGGTGCAAAAACACGACTCTCCCACAGCCAGATGTGGCCTCCTCCCCAAAGACGCCTAAACCTCGTCCAGTTATAGGATCAGACTGCTTTGATAATGATTAATCCATGTGTTGTTTTTTCCATCTCCAAACTTGAGCTGGTCAGGACCTGTGTGTTCTTTCTGAAAACAGACCGGGTTGTTCCATAGTTCAGCTCCACCATCAAAGTGTAACTTCAGGTAGCACAACATGGGAACAGGTGAATCAGCATGTACAACGCTGTCCAAGTCCCCACAGTTGTTACTGACAAAATGGTGACTCTACACACTGAAGACATTTTATTACTTGCAGTTTTAGTTTATTTTTTCCATGGCTGTTGCTTGTGTGTGTGCTGTGTAAACATTACCTGCAGTTCAACCCAGTTAAGCTAATAAGTCTCAGAATTTGTGTCACATGGCTGGTGGACACGAGCGAGTCACCACTGAATCGCACAGTTACCACGAGGAGAGCATTTCTACACAATCCAGTCAGAGCAAAAAATATATTTTTAAACTCAGATTTGGTCAAGTTTTCCAACGGAGCAGCACAGACGAGGACTGTCAGAGTTCAAGTTAAAATCGATAGAATTTTCTGTTTTTACAGTTTCTGACTGTTTTTTTCAACAATAAGTTCCCTTTCAAGTTTGCTGGTGGGTTTTGATGTTCAGAAGGTTACGCTCAAGTAATTAAAACCCCCAATTAACAAAACTGGTTTAGAAAAGCAAATATCTCTTGTTCTCAGTGTTGTAGCTCTGCTGAGTGTCCTTTGGCCTTGGCTAAAACCTTTTTGCAAGGTGTCAAGATTTCATCTGTTCAAGAAAAGCCCTGGTGGTTGTAGACCACTAACATGTGTTTTTGTTCTCCTCAGGCACTGGCTGGCCACCTACTTTGTCATCTGGTACGGTGTGCCCTACATGACGTACGACATCTTTGCCATGTACCTCAGTCACTACTACCGCTTCCGCGTCAAAGGGCACGAAGACTACAAGCAGCATTCGCTGAGGACCGTGAACTCGTTTGTCCGCAGAGAGTTCCTGCTGGTGCTGCATCACATCGCCCTGCTCACCATCCTGCTGCCCGTCACACTGGTGAGCAGAGGAGGGGGGGCTGATGAGGAAAACCAGGGAGGGATTGAGACGGCGCTGATGAGGTCATGTTGTCAATAGGCCAGACCAATAATTAAGAAAACCGAATGTAATGCAGGCAGTACTGCTGGTGATAGATCTGTAAGCTGCTGCATTGGCTGCTGGCAGAAATCAAAATGATTGGCGTCGCACATCTCAACCTTTATCTGCACGGTGGGAGGACGGACTGCTCACAACAACAGGCACACAACAGGCTAATGAGCTTATTTAAGGGGATCATTACGGGTGCAGTGATTGCTGCGGCTCATAATGTATGTTAGAACAGTTTTAAAAGAGTGATTTTAGCACAAGTTTAAATAGGAAATAAAACATTTTATTTACTTACAGAATATTAGAGCTGAAAGTGGATCAATCAATGAGGCGACCAACAGAACAGTTTTTTTTAACAGTTGTAATAATGTCGGGGATCCAGACTAACGTTTAATTGAACTTGTGCGCTTTACTTTTTCAGTCTTCTCATCGTGCCTGTTGGTGCTTGTGTTCCTCACAGTATAACCCAGATTGTTTTCTGAAGCTACAGCTTACCAGCATGTTGTAAACGGCTTACATGCCCTGATGAAGTCGGAGCTGTGCACAGAGAAGACTCTAGTCTCCACGTAGCTTAGCTTAGTGATCAAGGCAAGTGTGTTGCCACAAATTTGTTCAAAAGAGTGAAATAAGGCGTTTTAATGCCAGATTTACCTCCGTTGACCCTGAGTGATTTTATATACGTGGGTGGGCCGACCGGAGACACACAGCCAGACCTGCTAAATGTCGGGCGCACTGCTACGATCAATAAAAATGTTCAGATGCACCTAATAGATCTATCGATCATTTGAGTGATTTTTCAAGGAAATATTCCAAAGTGTCACTTGTTACAGCTTCAGGCTTTAAAGTTTTTTCTTTAATATTAAACTGAATATATCTGAGGCATTAAAACATCAACTTGTGTTTGAGAAACTGGCCAGTATGTGTTCTATGTGTTGTCTTTACACTGAAATTCGCTGTGAATTTAGACATTATTTTACTCCTGGCCATTTCTGAGACCACTCTTCTGATTTTAATGACTCTGAATTTGTTCTTGTACCTTTCAAGCAGCTTTTGGTTGATTTCAACATGACAAAAACCAACTTGAGGGGAGTTTATACTCACTTGTGATAAACAATAAGTCATGTGCTGGTTTAGTACAGTCCGCTGCCAGTAATGCATTATTGTTGTGTACTCTAATGTTGCGCGTGGTTTCAAATCAATCCTCGCTTTAAGCTGCATTATCTCCTAATGAATACTTAAGTGGCAGCAAAAAATAGACACGATGCTCCCTGTCATGAATTACCTATCAAGTCATTTTCTGTCAGTCAGCTTTTAAACTCGATAGAAATAAATAGACTTAACTGCTGCCAGGAATGTAGGGAAAAGCAATTAATTTGAGTTAAAAACTGTAACGCCGTGACAGGTCAACTCACAACCATCGTTGTCACTGACAGAGCTCGTCGGTGTTTGTCTGAATTCCCGTTACTGGTATCTGAAAGCACCCTGATCAGGTCAGCTGTGGTTCACAGTGCATTACTTCCTGTTTAGAGGCTTATTAAAAGACCAAGAAAGCCACAGAAACAATTATGATGTGAGAGCTCTGTTACAAATAGGTGCCTTAACCCAATAAGGAGTCCTTGCAAAGGCCGAGCTTTGTAATGGACTGAACAAAACAAGAGTTTGCACTGAGTCAGTGCTGAGCATCTCAGTGAAATGAATACTGATGCAGCCTCTCAGCTTAGAACCAACAACAGCTTGTCTCATGTAGAACTTCTGAAAACAAGTTACAGAGCTTTACCTGAGATTGGAAAGTACAACAAATATTACAATAAAATGCCAAAATACAACAGAAACTGAAAAGTTAAACCAATGACCAACTCCACAAAAAGCGATTTCCGAATAGTGAGTAAAAGAAGACGATGACTTTGCTTCTGTGGTCTGTTCCTGTGGGTCACTGACGGAGAAGACGTGTCGACTTTAGGTTTCATTTCTGCAATTTCTGGTAAAGTTAGTGTCAACGGTACATCCAGGAACTGAGTCCTACAATCCTTTAAGCTGCTGTATCGAAGTACTTTATTTTATTCACTTTTTTCATATTTTTTCCGTAGCTGCTAACCAGCTAGCTGAGGCCTGTCCCTGCTCCCGTTTCCCTATAATATAGCTGGTTAGCAGGATTACAACGTAGCTATCAAAGAAAAATGCTTACATTTAGCATCTCTAACGGTAATCGCAGATTTTTCTTAAATATCCATTAAAACACATCGTTGAGTAACTTGTTCTCTGCTGCTGGACCTGGTTGAGGTTGGCGGCTGCATTTTGAATCAGTGGAGGCATCTCCAGGTTTTGTTTGATTCGACATGAGCAGAGAGCGCTGCAGTAACATAACGAGAATGAAATTATTACATTAAATATTACGTGTGAATTCTTAACTGATCAAACAACCTGAGTTGGATAAAACAGGATTGGACAGCAGGATTATGTTTGCCTGACAGGTTGAGATGGTTGACAAGATGATACTGAGGTTTCTGCAAGAGTGAGAAATAGAATAGAATAGAATAGAATAGAACTTTATTGATCACCCATTGGGGGAAATGTACACGCCACAGCAGCATCCAAAAATATAGAAAGTACAAGAAATAACAATAATTATGTAACGTGCATCCTGGTGTCGGCACACAGCAGGTCCAAGGCTCCACCGTCTCCGGTTGGGCCGTCCACATGCTGGCTGAATGTGGGCAGAGTGGTAGAGAGCCACGTCTGGTTAAAGTCTCCTGAGATGACCATCAGAGACTGAGGGTGTGATGTTTGCAGCTGGGACACTGAACTGTGGATGAGCTCACAGGCTGCAGCAGCATCAGCCGAGGGGGGGATGTAGACTGCAATCACCAGGACGTATAAAAACTCCCTCGGCAGGTTAAACAACCGCAAACCAACCGCCAGCAGGTCAACATCCTTCGTGCAGTGCTGCTCTTTAACAGTAACGTGCTAGCATCACACCGTCTCTCATTCACACACATGGCGAGTCCCCAGCCTTTCTTCTTACCGCTCTCCCTCCAGCTCCGGTCCGCTCTGACCAGGTGAATCCGTCCCAAGTTACGAGCGAGTCCGGAGTGAGTTCGTTCAGCCATGACTCCGTGAACAACATGAAGCTGCAGCCGAGTCAGCGCTGTTAGCTGTTAGCTGTTAGCTCTTCCAGCCCGATAAGGAGAGACCTCATGTTTCCCATGATGACAGACGGCTTGTAGGGTCTCCTCTTCCCCCGAAGCTTCACTCCTGCCCTGCATCCCGTCTTCCTCCAGCTCATCGGGGATGTCCGGCCTCTCCCTCGACGGTGGCTTGGCCTGGCTCAGCGCCAACAGCTGCTCAACAGCCCGCCAGACACGGACCCCAAAAACTCGCAAAGAACAAACAAACAAACAAACAAAAAGTCTTAGGAGGAAGTGTAGGAGTTCAGCTACTTCAGCTGAAGTGATTGTTGGATCGTTAACAGCGTCTAAAACCCCTGGAAGTCGCTGCAGGTTTCCATCAGCTTTGAACAGTTTTTTCAGTCATAGCAGCGTCTTGCAGCCGTTGCGGTGATGTGCAGAGGTGTGAATGTGGGAAAGCTTTGACCTTCTCTTTCAACACCTTTGAGGAAAGACTGTCCGAACACGTGGGTCATAATAATCACGTCTCACCCCTCTTTGGACAGCAGCGTGTTACCGTCCATCCAGTCTGCTTTTGGGGTTTGGTTTTCCAGCCCTAACGCCCTTGGTTATATGAGAAACGGGTTCTGCTGAAGAGCCAGCATCCATTTTTCCTCCACTATGTGAAAACTGAACTCTCACGGAGTCGTGCGTTATGCAGCAGAGCGAACCACTTCACTGATTTAGTCTGTGGTCAGTCGGAGAAACTGGAGTCCGACTTGGTCAGTTCAAAGTAAAAACAAGTGCTCGAGCTTCCATCGGAATAAATGGCAGGAAAAGAAAGAGAACACTAAGCTAGTAATTATTGATCACGCTCTTTGAACAAATGCCAGCAAATGACTCTTTATTGTTTTCCTTTACGTCCTTGAATTGTGAGCGTTGCAGAGGGAGACAGGTGCAGTGAGAATGGACAGGAAGAGGGAATGACAGGTGCAGGCTGTTTTCTGCTGACATACGAGTGCTGCACGCAGAACATTAGAAGCCAGGGAAAGACCTCGGCGTGCATAAAAGCGTCAGAGCTCGGGGAAAAATACGAGTTAAATGCATGAACGTACAGCAAGATTTAAGCGGCGGCCTCGGAGAAGGCAGGAGAGGGCGAGTAATGATTGTGGGTATAACCGACAAACCGGGAACCTGCTCAGAAGGTAAAAGAGTGTTTCTTAGTTTGTGAATTCCTTTGAAAGTGTGCAAGCAAAGAAGTTCATCAAAGCGTGTTCTGATTAGTGGTTTACTTTGATGGTTTCATTGTTGGCCAGAATAGAAGCCACTTTGCAGCATATTGTGTTCCTATACAAAGATTTACCCAGAGCAGTTCTATTTCTATTCTACTCTGGAAAATACACACTATAAATTAAGTTATTCACAGCTGGCAGCCCTTATGTTCGGTGGAGTTTACAGAACAGCCGCTCCAGTATCGCAGGTTAGCAGGCCAGGTGCGGTGGAAACCCGGCCCTTTTGTTTGCAGCGGCAGTCAGTGGCTATACGGGATCACATTACCCTACATTATTCAGCTCCAGCTGCAGTCATCCTCTTTTCTCCGAACTCGCCTCCCCTCCCTTTGTTTCTCCTCGTGTTCGCTCCCTCGTCAGCTTTATGCCACTTAAGCTCGCCTGGATGATACGCGAGCAGTGACACGCAGGAGGTGGACGTTAAGAAGGAAAACACAGCTTTAATTGATAGCATTAATAGATGCTCCGTTTACATTTAGATCTGTCAGTTTAGGAGCTTTCTTCACTCAGCGGTGCACCTTTATTAGAACCACCTGTGTTGAAAATCGGCAACGAGCGGTAGATTCATAATAAGAATGTGACAAATTTGCAAATAAGCCTGGAGATTAAGCTTTGGACTCGCAGTTTATCAACATATCAGCCTATACGTGATGTTCACAGGTGCCCTGACCTTCATTTACCAGATCACTGCTCAGCGTAAACAGCCAGATGCGACTGTCACGTACACTTTTGTCGTTAATGTCACCGTACAAACCGCTGCGTCTGCTGTCAGTGACATTCATTCAGTCGTGTTGAGCTCGCCTGTACGTGTAAGATTCAGAAAACGGAGATCTCTGGTAAAGGATTAGTGCTCTGGATTGGCAGAGTTTAGGCACCAGAAGTTGAACTGGAGGATTATCAATTACAAGGTTTGTGCCGCTGCTGCCAGAACATCGTTATCAGTGATAAATCAAGAGCTGAGAGTAGAAGCTGTTGTCCTGGGAGAGCTGGCCATCAGGTCACCATCATGAAATTTTACTAGACTATTAATTGTCCTACAGATATGTTCATGTAAAGCCTCTATAAGTTTTAGATCTGTGCTATTAGCGTCTTTAACCTTGTAGCTGCACATCCAACAATGAATCCCTTTTTCATTTGTGTTAAAACCAAAATGGGCCCACGTCAGTGCTGTGACGTTCTCAACTGAAGCCATGATGATGACGGAAATGCAGCTGAATGAATATTGAAGTGCCTCAAGCTGAGCTGTCGGTGGCATTAAACCAACACAGAAGAAAGTGCAGGTGGTGAAAACGAACTGAAATACGGCATTCCTGACGGTTTCTTCTATACAGACGTCTGGAAACGAATCAGATGATTACGTAAAATGATCGTGAGCAGGCGATTACGTAATAACAAGTCCTTCCTGGAGGATAACTCGAGGAACACCTGAGAGATTAGATATGGCATACCTCAGGAGAGAACTGACATATGGCTGGCGAGGAGCGCGTCTGGAGTATTATGGTTTACTGTCAGCATAACCTGCTGGTTATCTTCCACCCTTATATTTACACAGGTTTTTAATGACGGTGCGAGGGGCAGCAGGTGGACAGTGTGTAGTCAAACACCGGATGGATTTTACCGTCGAGTTCATGTCCACCCTTTTAGCTCGTGGCTCAAGATGACTCTAAACGCATCCACTTTGCACAAAGGCTAACGTGCGTACAGAACATTCAAATAAATCCCTGGACGGAGAGTCGGCGCGAGTTGTTTGTGACCACAGATACACTTGTTGTTGTCAGTGGCTGCAGGCAAATGAGAGGCGCAGAGCAGCGAGCTGTGGTTTGCTGGGATGGTCGATGTCAGATACATAATGCCATTAATCTTTTGCTTTTTTTTAATCTGTTAACTTCTCAAAGTTAAGTGATAAAGTAAAGTGCAGCAACCAGGAGTTTTTGAAGGTACTTGTTAAGTAGATTGTTCCAGAATTTTCCCACAGTTCTTCTGTGGATTTGAGCTGTTTCAGCATCTTGAGTTTCATCACGTGATCCCAGATTGTCTCCATTATGTGAAGTCAGCGCTCTGTAGGAGTCACATAATCTGTGGCATGTTCTGCTTATTGCTGAGGACACTTCTTTATGACTCCGGATGTATGTTTGGGGTTGTGTTTTTTTTACATACTCCACAAAAAGGTTGGGTCCAGTTTGGATGATACTGCAGAATGTAGATGAGATAAGAATCTGAACACCTTGAGGGCCTCGAACCTTTTCAGTAGGACTGATGTTCAAAACTCCCAAAGTGGTCCTTTAATGTTTTTTTAATGTAGCTTCCTGTACGTTGGGAAGGAGTAAATATGGGCCTGGTGAAGTTATACAACACTAGACATACTGGAATATAAACCTAACAAGATGTAGGCCTCAAGAACCAGTCTGGAAGTTCAGATTGTGAATAAATCATGAAGAACGTGTTATTTGGGTTTTGCGTATCGTTTCCTAAACACATTTCACTCGTGCTAGTTTAGAAAAAGTGTACCACAGAAACCTTCCTGAACACCTGCCTACTGCTGCCGCTGAACGCTGCACAGTTAGAACGGACTTCCCTTCATACATGTTGTGAATCTAGCATTAGTCTCCGTTGCTTGATTAGCATGTAAACTGCACAAACTGATTTAGTAAATGCTAGCGTCCCAGCACCATAACAGCAAAGAAAGCTGTGGTAGTTCAAAATGTAAACCAGAAACAGGACCACCAGAACTACTTTTACCATCATATGACATATTTTATCTTTACTCATGCAGTCACGTGAAAGTAGAGTTTTAAAGTTGTGGTAACTCGAGCCACCTCCTTCTCAAAGAACCGGAATTGAGAATCATTAGGAACCAGAATCGATCCGTTACCGACTCAGGCCCGTTTCAGGTGGGGGTGGGGGTGGGTGGCCAGGTAGCTTCGTAGGCGTGGTGTACAGTTCCACGCTGGTCAGTCTTTTGTTGGCAGACGGCAAAGCCACGTCTGGAGCCGCTCATGGTTTATTTATCGTCAGCACGCAGCGAGCTAAGCTACCAGACAGCGCTTGTCTTTTGTCTGGAGTCTCTCTATCCATCTGGACTGACTCACCTATTCTAGGGTGGCGTCTCTAACCGCACAGCACTGTGCCGCTGGTCAATATTTGAAAGCTTCATTCATTACTTATGTCCAGGACATCGCTGCCTCCACCTTCCTCTGCCTGCCTTTTTTTGGCATTTTGCAACTGTGGTGGAGCACGACGCCTTTGTGGTTGTGGCACTGAGCTAAAAAATGTAGAAATTGTCTTTAAAACATAATTCGAAGGAAGTTTTTTCAACAGCGCAGGTGTCGGTGCTGAATTTAAACGTGTGCCGTAAATTACAGTAAACTATAAAACTTTGGTGTGACTTGTTGGGAAAATGAAGTTTAATTCCTACCAGAGTTTCCAGCGTGGAGCTCGGCCAACTTGTCAAGACTGGTGCTGATTAAGACTGCGGTCATGGATCTCGATTCTCCAACGAAACAGATCTGTTGCATCATACGGTGACAATGAGGGCCTTCACATATTACAGCCTCCCTGAAAAGACAGTGCAGTCTTCATTTGGTCCTTCTCATCTGGTAACGCTGTGAAGCAGGACTTGACCATGTCAGAGTCACGAGGTATCTGTGTTTTACTGGTTTACTGTGACGGGTAAATAAACCCCTTCAGTTGTTGTCTAAAGGTTGTTTTAAACTTACAACCTGGACTTGTTAGCAGCCTGGGCGGGTTGTGAGTGGCCACTAGACAAATGCATGAAGTGAATACGGTGTTTCAGTTCTGTATGTGGACGGTGTTATATGGAGATATTTACCTCCACTGTGTTTTCTAGCTGACCCTCAAGGAACTGAAGTGAAACATTAGAGCTTGTAAAGTTGCTCCGGCTTAAAACCGGCATTTACAAGTGGCTGTTTTAAGAAACTTCCTGCTTCCAAGTCGTCTGACAACTGCCTCATTACACTCTGAGACTCGATTACCTTATTTTGGTTGGAGGAGCAGGTTAATTCTGGTTAGCAGGTCCTCAAAGCACCTCGTACATTAGGACCAGGAACATCATTGTACCAAAAGTCTGGTAGCAGACAACAAGTCTTTGTACCAAACACTGACACAATGAGGGATGCACAATGATATCACTGGTATCAGGCGATACAGGCTTTAGTGAATGTGGACACTTGAACAGCTTTTCATGCTGTTCCTGCCACTGGGTCATCAGAGAGGCTTATTAATAAGATAATTAATTAAGGTAATAGTATCAGCATTAAGCCAAAGTTAGTTGGAAAACATTGGATATTGGCAACAATCCATTGTTATACTTCCCTGAGATTCATCTAATGATTGTTTTTCAGCGTGTAATTGTTCATTTTCTGAAACTGCTGCACACAACGTCTACACACACGACGCTACGTGGTGATGAACGCTAATGACAGCAGTATATTTACATAAGCAGTGCCCAGCTGTGTTGGCCAAATCAAGATAACATTGGTGGATGCGGCGTTCGACGCGTTGCTGGGAAGAAATGCAGCTGTAAGGTTTCAGGATAGGGATCCTGCTTTGATGAGTGTGAGGTGTTTCCTCCGGTTGCTCCAAATGCTCTGCCACGCTGTTTTACTGCTTTGCTGTCGACTTATTACCAAAGTATTTATTCTTGTGACATCTGTCGCAGCTGTTTGTATGAGATAGAACCCAGATCGCTGTTGACTGGAAATTAGTTGACGCACAGCCTCGTGTGCACGCTTTACTCAGCAACCGAACTCCTTTCTGCTTTTGCACCAAGAAGCAGAAAGCTCAGACGTTTTCTGAACAAATGCTTTTTATCGTTTACCTGAGCTGGCAAACAGCTGAAACTAAAAAGTGTTAAAGGGTCTGTCCAAGGTCTGCCATGACGGATATCACACAAAACGATGTACGACAACATGCAACAAGAGTACACAAAATATTGTACAGAGCTGTTTATTACACGGACACTTAAGCAACCATAACTGTGTTTGGGTTGCTTATGGACAAACTGATGAATACAATGACTAAATGAGAAATATTTCTCTGTCCTGATCCTGCCCCTTGTCTCTCAAGGACATTCAGCATATTTTCATTGTGACTGATCCAAAGAAAATGTCCTTGAAAGTCAGCTGTGTTTTTTTATTTCCTCCATGCTTGTGTTTGTTTGCTCAATCTGTGTGTGTGTTTGTCTCTTCCTCAGTTCTTCAGAAAGGACCAGGGAGATTTCTTCATCGGCTGCTTGTTCCTGACAGAGCTCAGCACACCCTTCGTCTCCATGGGGAAGATACTTATTCAGGTGAGACAGCGCCGTGCACACGGACGTTCACCAGAAACAACCTGGGACGTCCTGCGTCTGTCCCGTGTTCTGTACAGCAGCTGCTAAAACCACCTGAAGGCCGCGGTAACTCTGCCACACAGGTCGACCACGGCACAGCCAGGCTGGGCAATCATTCGCTAAACACTCAGCCTGAGCGGCAATTGTCCAATTATAGCTTAGCAACTGTAACTAGGCACAACCGGCCTGTCGAGCTTTGTGTTCCTCCACTTGCTGAGCTCACTGGGCTCCGCTGAGAGTTGTACACAGCATTTAAAGAGTCTGGAGGACGGTGTCTTTTTGTAATCTTTGTAAAACCAAAAACAACCGCAGAAGGTTTAAAGAATTAATTAAACAGTTTTCGTCTTTACCTCCAACTCCAGAGAGCATGTCAATAGTTGTGCTGTAGCGTGTGAGGATGCAAGTCATCTTAAAAAGTAAAAACAATGTAATTAGGGATGCTAATCGAACAATTTCCATGAATACATTAGTAATCTAAAACGTGTTAACCAATCAGACAGAACATGAAGGTCAAGCAGTTTAACCGTCAGAAAACATGGTGTAGATCTGCTGTACCGCAGGATTCTGCCACCAGGTGGAGCCTCTTGCTGTTCAACGAGATGGAGTTAAGGGTTTAACCTCCGCGGTTGTATGAAGGTGTCCTGCTCCTGTCCAGTTTAGCTGCTACCTGAGCCTCATGCTAATGCTACGCTAGGAAATGAGGATGCGTGGATGTACAGGTGTATATTAAGACTATAACTTAACTTAAGAAGGGGAAAGATGGGCTAATTGTTCATTAACTTTCCAGCAATCTATTTCATAAGCTACTTGGCAGCTTACTGTGAAGGCACCACTTGACTCCGCACCACCGCCTGCTCTGCTACATGTGCTACACACAGTACTGTCAAGAATTCTGGATTTAAATTTCCCCGAGCATCTTTTCCTGCATCATGTTCTATACAAAAATAGCTTTTATATCAGTGTGTATTTATTTATTTGAATATGAAAAGTCGCCATAAGTTTATTTAAATGTTCGTCCCAATAATGTAATTTCTTAACTGTGGCTTTCACGTACAGGCACACACGCTTTACTGCATAAACTCAAGTCATCTGTCGTCAGCTCTCGTGGCTCATTCGTCGTTTTTCTTCTGTAGTTCCTGCTCAGGTGATCTGCAGAGCCTCGCAGCGTCAAAAACCCCAGTGTCTCTGTTTCATTTGGGATGTAGCTTGTCACTGTCCCATCAATAATTAAGGTGCATGGCTCACCAAAAAAAAAAACACATCAGTCAGCAGCATTCAGCCAACAAGCCATGGCACGGTTCACTCCTCCTGCCTCCTCCGCTGCAGTTAATGTTCCACCCGTAGAGAAATCCCACCCTGCGCTCTGGCGGACGGTGTGTGTTGCTTCAGTGGACGGCTGCAGGCGCATCCATCTAAGAACAGCAGAGCCTTTACTGTGGAGCTCAGTGAAATCAGTGGACCGCAGGCTCGCAGGTCTCTGCTGACATCTGGTGTCAGCAGAGACAAACAGCGAAGCAAAACTGCACTGCTGCCCTCTTTTGGACCAGATCAGCACTCACAGACGCTGCCAGACGTTTTTACTGCTCTCAACAGCAGGGCTGATGGATGTGGTGTAGATCAGCGTGACACCGCCTGACGTGAGCGTTCACCATCCTACGGCGAACGTCTGCTTAGGTCTGAACCGTCCGCAGTTTCTTTTCCGAACCAGTGCAGGCAGGCTGCTGAAGGACAGCAGATCTGTGAATGTTTAGGTCAGCAGCAGACTGAACAGGAGGCGACGTAGTGATTCAAATCTGTGGATTATTATTATCTACAGTGCAAGGAAATGAATTTACAAAACAATTTACTCTTATTTTAAAACTGGTTTAGTTAAATTATAGATAATCAGTAAAATCACAGAAAAATTATCTGTAAAAAATCTGATCAAAACTATAAATACTGTAAAAAAAAATCTGTATTTTTTACAGATGCTAATTTATTCTTTTTATGTTTGACAGCACATTTTTTAAAGATTCAAGAGCTCTTATTTGTCACATGCTCATAGTGTTTGCAGTGAAACACAAATTTACTGCAAAAGAAAAATATTTTACAGATATTAGTGTGTTAAGGGTTAAAAAATTACAATTATTTCAGTTATTGACCAGATTTGACCTGTTTTGTTAAATTGCAGCTAATAACGAGTAAAACTACAGAAAGAAAAGTAGGAATTTACATGTTGACTGTAAAATAAATACAAAAATAAAAGGCCAAAATGTTCGCAAAAAAAAATAAAATCTGTGTTTTTACAAATCGTGAGCCATTCTTTTCCAGTGTTCGTGTCACACTTTGCAAGCACAACATCTGTCAAATTAGAAAACTTTCTGCATGTCGTTCAGCCTGACAGATGATTCATGATGTGGGTGTTTGGATGTGAACAGTTTCTGCTGAACCATCTCTGATTTGTCTGAAAATTTTATAGCGTAAAATAAAGACGTAAATTTTAGTGATGTGAACAAGACTTTGGTGGTAAATCGATTGTCATGATCGTCATGTTGGATGGGATCAGTGTGTTATTGGGAATAAACTCTGTCAGAGTGCATCTATAGGAACAGCTCCGTTTACCTTCTAGTATAGGAGTGTATGAATTTAATAGTGTTGGGGTCCAACAATGAAAGATACGCCCATATTTTTTAAAACATGGGGGCAAACATCCATCCATCCGTTATCTCTACACCTTAATCCTCACTAGAGTCACGGGGGCTGGAGTCTGTCCCAGCTGACTCAGGGTGAAGCTGATATATCAGTCTAGAGACCATTCTAGATATCAGTAGTTTAAAATAAAAGTTTCAAGCAAACCAGAGATGAAGCTGAAGGCCTGTGACGATTTCACACGGAACAACCCACACGTATAAACACAACATCTGGCATATATGTGACAGAAATGTAGTCAGTTTACACAAATGCACCGTATTTGAACTTTTGTTTTCATGTTACTGCTGCTCTAAACCGTTCTCTCCGCCCCCCTTCCCTGTTTTGGTCTCCCCCCACCAGCTCAGCCTCCAGGACTGCTGGCTGCACAAGGCCAACGGTGGCATAGTGCTGCTCACCTTCTTTATGTGCCGCATCGCCCTCTTCCCCTACATGTACTGGATGTACGGCCGCCACTACGGCATCCCCCTGTACAGCGTGCCCTTCCACCTGCCGCTGTCCACCAACCTGGGCAACTCGTGCATCCTGGCGCCGCAGGTCTACTGGTTCGTCCTGCTCTGCCGAAAGGGCTTCCGTCTGTACCAGCGCAGCCGCAGGCCCGACGCGTCTCCGGCGGCCGCTGTCACTGACAATTCTAAGGACGATTGATATCCGCTCCCCGACTGCTCGCTCAAGCCGCACACTCAGCTACTAATGCAACTCAACCCCACCATTTGTACTGTAGTACACCAGGACTGCCTGCTCTTGTTCCACGACTCCTGGGCATTTCTCCGCACACTTTAACTCCTCTGTTAAAAACCTGCTGCCTACGTGGACCTCTCCACCACCAGTCTACTACTGAAGTTTGGTAATTTGGGTTTAATTTTTTTAGTTTTTTTGGGAGGGGGGGGATTTGGCTCCTGCCTGGATCTTGTTGAAGTGCTGCACTGTGTCTGTCTACATTTACAACACTGAAGAAAAAAAGGTCACGTGGAGCACCGAGAAACTAAAGAGGAGCTTCCGGGGAGAGACTTTATCTTATCTCTTACTCCTACTGTGTTTACAGCTGCTGCTGATTGGGAAGGTCTGTTACAGTGTGTGTGTGTGAGCGGCTCTTACGGCAGGTTGTATTTAATTTCATGGATTTTTTGCTGTAAGAGTGTCAGATAGCTGCTTTTCCTCTCCCATCCCTTCACATGTCACTAGAAGGTTCTGTGGCGGGTGGGCTGTGAATTCAGGCAGTATTAGCAGGAAAAAAAAATAAAAGCTACGAGGACACAGGTCGCCTCGTCCACATCTGAGAGAGAAAACAGCGACACTGTTTGCACCCCGTTAATGTGATAGACTGTTCACTTTGTTTCCCCTCACAGCATGTCTCACATCACCTTCCTCTCAGTTTTTGTTTTTAATGAGATTGAACATTTTCACGACTTCGGTTCGACGCTAACCTCTACAGCCGTGTTTCCATGACGGCCTTTCGTGCGTGTTTTGAAGCATTGCATTGGAGAAGGTTCACGGAAACGACAAAGTTCAGCTTTTTTTTGGCTCGCTTGAGGTGGTTTTTGACTTTTTCAACGGGAGATGTTAACACCTTTTTCTTACATTTAACTCAGCTGTTTAGTTGTTTTCACCTCAGGACGGCGGTAGTTGGACACGCTCAGAACCAACTGGCGTGAGAAAAAAACAACACTTTTCACAATTCCTGAAGAACTACATCCACTTTCCTCCTGTGTGTGTGCAACGTTAGGGTTTTTTTTTGTCTTCTTTGAGGTTTCAAACAACCGTTTTCCTGCTTCTTTTTCGTTGTTTGTTCCGGTGACACATCGCGCTGCTGTTCGTCGACGCTACACAACCCGGTTCATCGGCTCTAAAGCAGGTCGTGGAAACCAGCCGAATTTCTTTTTTCTCAACTTTTTCGTGACATTTCACAAGCTGGCTATGATTTCGCCTGTGGAAACACGGCTAACGTCCTGGCAAATGAGGAAACCGATGGTTATTTTTTGCAGAATTTGAATGCAAAAAAAAATGCAAGCCACTTTGCTCCCAAAGTCTGAATAATAATAACAATATGAAGCCATGATTGGATAAGAAATATCCCTCTATTACAACATGTAGTGTTTTTAAACTAGCTTACAGCCGAGTGGAACGATTCTCAGAGTTCTGTTTTTGAACTCCTGCTGTGTTACTGTTTGTACATGTGAGGGTGTCTTGAACACAAAAGTCCCTGTTTAGAGGACTTTTGAGCTGCCAGAGGTGATGCAGGGCAGCTTCAAGCGTCTCTAAGGGTCACCTGTGGTGGTCGAAAGTCAGTCAGATCTGCCTCTCAGACCACCGACGGGGATCATTTGGGGGGGAAAATATATGATAACGCATAACGAGGGTTTAAGGTCGGATGGTTCCCAACTGAACTCAGGGCCAAGGTCAGAGCAATAAGGAGAGTGGTGGCTCAGCAGAAAGCACTTGAGCAGAGGACTGACATTTCCGAGCAGTTAACCGCAAAGAAAGCTAAATAATGGAGGGTGTTGTTAGGAGGTGTGACCGCTGACAGCTCAGTTCCTCCGAAGGTCCAGAGATCTATATGCACTTGTGTATCACTTCACACAGAGCTGTATATACATGCGACCGTTTTTAGAGCGTTACCTCATGTTTTAGTTCCACTAGAAAGATTGTTTTAAAACCTTCTGTATATCTTGACCTTGTGATGAGAGAGAGGACCATTTTTGTCATGCATAAAGACGTTTGTCTTAAAGGGTTTGATGAAAGAAAGTCTCGTGCTTCAGTTTGGATTATTTCTCGATATCAAAGAATAAATGCTGCAGGCTTAGTTTCACACACAATCTAAACCCTGGAGTTCATTCAACTCCTTCAATCTTGACGGTGGTTACGGATGCGTTAATGGCCTTTTCTTTGTGTCCTGTTAAGTCAATCTATGCAAACGAGGCTGCGGTGCATGTGTGCGACGCTAACGTCAAGTCGAAGTGATCCACGCCTCGTGTTATGTTCTGGGACTTGATCTCGGTCTCACGTCGCATTTCAGTCTCAGAGCTCTTTGCTCGTTTCTCGAGTCTCCCTCACCTCAAGGTTTAATGAATTCATAATCATGTCGTGCTGAAAATCACTTCAAACTGATTATTACCCGTATTGTTTTTAGTGCACTCGGACACGTCTGCAGATTGCGTTAGCGGGACGTCACGACGGCGCAGCGGTTCACACTGTCGCCTCGTAGCCAGACCGTTCTGGGTTTGAACCCGCTGGCATTTCTGTGAGGAGTCTGCATGCCTCTCAAGACGTGTGGCGGGTTGCGGGGCAGGTACTGATGACGGATGGACCTAATTGATAACTAGCGCTGACGTGCTAACGGGCCTTTGTGCTCGACGACTGCACACAGCCCTGCCTGGATTCACTGTCGCTGAACGTTTTGCTTCGATTCCAAAACATTTCCACGGTTTACGTCCTGAGATGGTTTTACGTCGCCTGTTTCTTACATTTTGCGTTACATCACTTTTGCTGAGCGGGATACACAACCAGCCACAACATTAAAACCACCAGCCTAATGTTGAGTATGTGCTGCCGAAACAGCCAGAACCTCATAATGTAATGAAAAAGATATCAACCAATAAGGCAACAAACTGTATCGGACCATATGTAGACCGGCTCTGTTGCAGCACCAGGTCGTGAGGAGTCACCGTAGTGACCCCAGGAAGTGGACACTCGGTCTACAGGCGGAGCGTTTTGGGGGTTTAGCTGGTGAAGCGACACCACGACTTGTCTTTTGTGGCGGGTAATGCCTACCGACCAGCGCTAACATACTTAGCTTACAGAGCGATGCCCACTGTTGGTCCATAGCTTACAATCCGGCTGGGAGGCTGCTGTCATTTCACCAGTTTGTGGTTTTAATGTTGTGCCTGATTGGTTTAGAGTAAAATCAGCAAACTTATCTTTATCTCATAAGCTAAAATGAGCTCCGATAAGCTCCCAGACCAAGTGAAGCTGATTGTGTTGAATCGGTTTCACTGCTTATGAACTCAGCTTCTTGAGGACGTTGTTAATTCCTAAATGAACGGATCAAAGTGACGCTGCTTCACGTTAGAATCACTCTCAGCTGGCGCGCGAGGCCCAACCTGCAGAAATTACTGTAAATACTTTAACCCCCGATTCAAACGGTGCTTCTCTTAATAAAACGAGATCCGTGACTTGAGTGTCGGGGAAAAGGTGCTGAGTCTTCCTGCTGGTTGCGGGCCCGTTTGCTGACCAGCAGCAGCGCGAGGAGAGCCGAGCTGCTGAATGATGGGCTTGTCCGTCCGGTTTGGCTGCAGCCCAGCAGAGTGCAGGCCTCCTCTATCTGTGGCAGATCAGGCTACTGTTACTGGAAACACCCCGTGCTCTTTGTCCTGCTTCCCTTCAGCCGAATCCTCCTCCCGCTCTCTAACGGCTTGTAAAGACGTCTACAGTTTCACTTCAGTCAGTGGGCGTCACTTCAGTCAAGCGTCTAAACAAGACTCAGAATTCAGAGTCGTTCCCATCACATCTGCTCTCTCCTCCGTTCAGTCCCTGTCCGATGGCTGATTTCGCTCTGCAGCTGTAGGAAGTTGCGGGAGTCGTCAGCAGCTCCCAGCGAGCCCTCCATCCTCTCTGCCGCCACCTGTCGTCGGCTGCTCGCCCACTCAGCAGTTTACAGGCCGTGCTACTGTGCATGTCTCCTATGCAGTCGGCTGCCTCGAGATGTACACGTCTCCGTTTCCAGCCGCCGTGACCTCACCCTCCACGAAATGCACTGAAAACAGAAAACAAGACGGCACGCAGTCCGCTTTTATTGTTCGTTAATCAAGAAGTAATGATTCAAAACTTCATCGTTTCAGCTGCAAAAATCTGTCGCATTTCGACCAGAACTTTTATTTTTTTTGTTTGATTTTGGGTGGAAAAGCTTTTAAAACAGTGTTCATATCATCATTAACTCCAGCGTGTCCGGGTAGTTTAGGCTTTGCAGACAACATAGATTTTCAAAAACACGCTTTAGCCCAGGAGCGTGATTTCTGACGGCTCCACCGGACAGTCGGACAAACAGGAAACGTCTCAAATTTAGCAGCCGGACGGATGGAAGCAGCAGTCTGTAGGCTAACTTTTAAAATCATGGAGCAAATATTAAAAATATATATCTAACATTCCACTACTTTCAGTGACGTTTTATGCCCATCAAAAGTTTTTTTTTTGTTCTTATGATTTTAACAGTTTTGTATTTAAGCTTTTTATTCTTTCATTTCGAGGAAACGTGAGGGTGCTCGTCCACCATTCAAGTTAATGTCTTGCCCTCAGATTGACTGATGATGGATTAATTAGATAAACAAAACGAGGAAACAGTCGTCTGATTGTCCTACCACGCCGACTTGAAGAGAGATCGCCAGGGAATGACAAGCCACATCACTTCCATTGCTAGGACTGTGGATCACTGCCACATGAAATCATTAAAAAAACAAATCATTTAGAGGCTGAAGACACGAGGAGTGCACATATCTGTACATCACTCACTAGATTCTTAATGTAGGAAATCTTAAATTTATCCTTTTTGCTCAGGGTTTGATGAAGTTTGATGAAAAATCGCTAACATACCGTATGCGTGTACAGAGGTTTATTGTGAGGTGGTGATGAAACTGTGAGACTGATTCTGGAGATGATCACATCTAGAATAGTATGCTGTTTCTTTTCTGTATGTGTTTTAAAGAAGTTTGTTTTGTTTTGTCCTTCTAGAGTTTTCTTCTATTTATGCTTCCTGACACGGCTTGTGATACTTCAACTTGTAAGGGTTGGTAAACCAAAGACTGTCAGGCACTTTAGCTAACAGAGCTGTAGTACTATGAAGAGGAATTCATTTGACTTTCACTACTTTAGACATGCTGTACATGATTTGTCTTAATAGCTAAGTTACCCACCTGTCACTGAAAAACCAAACCGCCCTCTGGTCTTATCCTCTTTGTTTTGGTCCCAGAGAGCGACACATACTGGGATTTAGTGGAAGGAATACTCACTTACCGGCTGTTTAGTTGATTCTCCACTGTCATGCATATATGTAGTCATTTTAGCAGTTTGGTTGTTAATCTACATTACAATTACATTTTTGGACTCATTGACACTAAAACAATGTGATTCCTCTTTCTTGTATGTAAGGTCTAATCTTGTGACACCTCGTTAGTGGGAACATGGACACCAGAATTAACCCATTTAAAACACTGGCTCTGTTGCTAATGCTACGTAGCATAGGCCTACACCGGAGTGAGCACAAGTCAGCTTCCACCGTTGAGTGAAAGTTTAATTCTGTGCTAGCATTTTAGCATTACCTTGACTATAAATTGTTGAAGGACCAATGCAAACGCTTTGGTGGTTGACTACAGTGTTAGCAAAGTCCTATTCTTGCCAGCCTCATGCTAGCATTATTTTGAGTGGGAGTTTATTTGACGCATAAACTTCTTTTATTTCCAAGCTAACACTTTAAAGAGGGCTTAACATCGTGCATACGCTATTTTAAGTACATTATTTATTGAGAAATCTCATTAGATGCTAACATTTAAGCATTAACTTTATCTGAAATTGTCGCACAGCAAATGCTAATGCTCTGTCCTTTACTGCTGAGTCGTAGCAAGTGTCTGGCTAACATTGAATATTTGCTATATTGGTCCACTACATGATGATGATGATCACTTTCTCTAAAAACATTTTGAGTGACAGTTAATTCTGTACTAAAGCTTTAAGCTAAGACCTACTGTGGGGCTTGGTGGTTGACTAAAACATTGGCATAGACCTACACCAGTTAGCCTCTTGCTAACATTGTTTTGGGTGGGAATTGATACCATGCTAACATTTTAGCATTTGCTTTATATTAAGTTGCTGCAGTCTAAGCTAATGTGTTATCCGACCCTGCTGAGCCACAACAAGCTTGAAGATAACTTAGGCTAAAATGTTAGCAGAGGCCTAAACGAGCACTAACTGTATTTTAAATTGTTGTAGACTGCATGATAATGAGCCAACTCTTAATATGTTACGTGATGTCTGACTAAAATGTTAGCCCAGCCGTAGGTTTACTATTATGCATGAGAGTTCATGCTATGCTAACACTTCATCATCATTTTATGTGAAATCATTGTCACATCTATGCTAACCACTTATCTCACACTACATAAAGTGATAGCAGACTTCATGCTAACACTTTAGCATTGACCTACAGTCCACAGGAGAATATTTTCCTTCTTGCCAACTTTATTTTAAGTGAGAGCACACTCTTTTAGCTAGCTCTTTAACACTATACCACATCTTGAGTGGCTGCAGGCTACATGCTAACATTTTATCTTTTGAATGATTGCAAGCTCCAAGCTAACAAAGCATGTCGTGGTATCTGATGGCTGGTGGCTAACATGATTTTCAGTGGGAGTACACGCCATGCTAGCACTTTAGCATCTAGCACTATGTGTTGGGTGGCTGTAAGCTACATGCTAACACTGATGAGTGGCAGTAGGCTCCAAGTGAGCACTTAGATATTGCATGATATGTGATTTTAAACATAAAAATTCCATTTAACACTTCAATATGGGTCATTTCTTGTAATATACAAAACCCAGAATTCAACAACCGTGGCAGGTTTCGGTGTCTATGTTCCCACCATTCAATGGGTAAGCTATGGATTCTTGAGTTGTAAATGGGAAAGATGGGTTCTCTTCCGCTCCTGTCATACGTTTTGTATAATTTTGCTGTTTTCTTGATTGTCACATATCCCTTCATGGCTGGTCCCTCCTCTGGGCAGTGCAGGATTTGGGCTGGAGGTGGGGTAAAGTTTTAAACTTAGATTGGGTTTAAACATTTCGGCCTAATGCTGCGTTTATGTCGCGTTGGATGAATACAGGATACGTTGGATTGGGGGTAACTTGGGCCGACAGCGCTCTGCCGTTTCGACGTGAACGCGTCATTAGGCTGACGAAATGCATTTTATCAGACAGATTGTGGATGGGCTTGGATTTGAAGCACTGCAAAAGCTGTGTTGCTGGGGCTGATTTTGATCTGTGGACAGTGAACCAAACTTGGTCTCCAGTGCCTTGTGAAAAATCTATTTGTGATACCCACAAAACTCAGTACGAAAGAGCTAAGCTGGCAGGCAGTGTTTACAGGTTGTGGCTGTATTTACCGTGTTTATTACCATCTACATATCCTTAAAGAGAAATCATGCTTTGGTGTTCACAGCAATCATCAGAAGAAAAAAAAAGAAGTCTCATCGTTTGTAAAAATCACATAATTTAATTTAAACGATCCGAAACGAACTGCTATGCATTCACTGCTAGACTGAGAGTAGACCTCGTCATCTGATCCTGTTGAAATTAAGGCCTTTATGCTCATGTTTTCTAGTGTTTTACATTTTATAGCATTTCATCAACAAGTAAAACGATCACAGTTTTGTTTTCCCAAATGGATGTGCATCATTTGAAGTTGAACCCTTTAAAGCGTAGACGTATTCCAGGCTTGGATTTGTTTGCTGTGTTTCTGTTGTTCCAGGTGGATGTGTATGTTTTGGAGGTTTGGATTTTAATCTCGACTTGCTGTCCATATCACTCACCGTTCCCGACTGACTTAAATGCAGCACCTTCACAACCTTTAACACTTCCTGCCCCATATTATTTTTGATAGCATTCTTATTTTTCATACATATAAATATATATATATCAGATTTGATGCATCTGTCCTTTTTTGTAGCGTGGACCTTTTCTGAGGAAATTTCCTATCTGAAATGAGACTGGACTGTTTTATGAAATAATAAGAGGAGTTATGTACTGTAGCTGCAACTTGTGAATTCAGAGCACCCCTTTAAAATTCAATAAATTTGATTTGATAGACTATTTTGAACACGTGTCTTTTGTTTTTCCCCCCATTGACTTGGTTTGTGTGTCTCTGCACTGCAGCAGCATTTGTCTGGCAGTGAAGCTCCTTCAGACTATGGAAACGCATTTATCTTTCATATTTAGTGAATAATTCATCTTCTCTGCTGACAGTTTAATCGCATGGATGGCCAGACTTCAAAGGGGCGTCCAGCTTTAAAATAAAATAGCCATAGACTGTACAATGAAAAAAAAACAACTGTAAAAACATACGTCAAATATCTGTAAAATAATGATATTTTTAGATCATTTAAATACCATGAAGCAAATCAAACTGACACATAATGCAGTTTACTGTACGCAGTAAATACAGTAAAACACTTTCATCGTTCTCGTGCGTTGATATGCAGTTTTCACTTTTTTTTACAAGATGTAAATTAACATTTTTTGGTGGTTTTTCTAGATATTATTTGTAATTTTAACAAAACTGAAAAATAATCTGTGAAATAAATTTTTAAAAATATAATTTTTCAATCCTCATATACATCCTTTTTTCTTTCAAATAGTAACAATATCTTTAAAATATTTACATTCTTTGCTGATTGAAGTACAGTGACAATAATTTATCAGTCAAACATTGTAAAAGAACAAATCCCCCATTTATGAACATACAGATTTATTTGATGTCTTTGGTTGTTTTTTTTTTTGTAACTAATCGCATGTAAATTAGGACTTTCTTTCTGTGACAACAGGGAAATTGTAAAATAACAATAAATTGTTGTAAAATCTGTTAAAAAATAAATAAATTTTGCAGAAGTGACTTTAACCTGCGTTCATTCCAGCAGCCAGCAGGGGGCGTCTCCTCTGGTTGCAGAGATAAGTTGGATTGTATAGAAGTTCAAGAGGAAAAAGAAAATTAAAAATGTGACTCTCTTAATGTGTTCATGGTCTCAGTAAGTAGTCTGATTACTCCGTCACCACAGCATGCTGTTAATCTGGTCAATGATGCTTCCATTTAGAGGCCAACAGGCAGCAAAGCAGGATGTACGCTGCGTACGTCTTTTATATATAATCTGTAGAATTAACACATTTTCCATTAAATGCTATTCTAGGAGCCGTTAAATCTTTAAACTGACTCACAGGTTGTGTTCGTCTCGTTCTTCTCTTGTCTAAATCTCTTATGTTCTTCCTGTAGATGTGCAGCCCCCTATTTTTTTTTTTTTTTTTAGTATTTCCCTGAGATCCTCTGTCGTAATCTGCTTTAAATGTTTAGTAGAGATGACAGTGCGTATGCTCGGTCATGGCGCCTGTGGGTCGTAATGTGACGCTGTGGCCACCAAGAGGCGCTGCCGGCTCGAGCTGATACCTGAGACGGAGCTGCTGGACGGTGGAGCGCAAATAATCTCCTGTGAAGCTCGGATGACTTGTTAAAGTTAAAAGGAAACTTCTAATCAGTGGCCTGTGAAGTGTTTAGATTCTTGAGTACAGGCGGTAACATCACACTGCAAGTAAACGTTCAGGAACTTAATTTAGCGTAAATATGAAAAGATTATCAGTAAAATACAATTAAAGCATCAAACATGAATGGACTTATGCTGCAGAAAAGGTTCCATCTGTGTGATTTTACACAGATTTTCCATATAATAGTACTTTATGCTGTTATATATCATGTTTTGAGGGTTCATATTACAGTTGCATTGAGTTTGCTTCTAATCAAGTCGGGCTTTTGTAACAGCTTATAGATTTTAAGAAGTAGGAGAAAGTCTTAAGCAAATAAACTTTCAGTGTATCAGAAAAATGCAAAATTACCCAATTAGGAGATGAACAGTTTACAACGGACAGGGATGGTACGAAAGACAGAACAGCAGCGACACAAACAGATTTTTATTTTAGTTTTACCATCATGACTCTACGATGACGACATCACTCGAGGCTGCTGTGCTCATAATATTAGTAGTTTGCTAATTAGTAAACTACATTAATTTAATGCACTTTTATGGCAAAAAAAAAAGCTCAGTTTCCCACAGAGAGTACACATTTGTCCCATAAAATAATTTTACAAAATGAATTGCAGTAATAAAAAAAACCTTTTGGGGGGATTTAGTGTCTCTTGGAATCTTGGTGCATCTTCAAAAGTCTGAAATCTCCCTTTACGCTCAGGTTACTTCACCGCTAATCTGCTCTTCTTGTCAGCTCGTCTGAATTCATTTCAGACCAGGTTTTCACTTTGATGACGGCTAAAGTGTTGAAACTGATTCGCTCTCTGAAGAGACTTCATGCAGCTTTGATAGCAGCCAAGAGACACAAAAACACTCGAAAAATTCTGGCCCCTCCTTCCCATTAGAGCTTTTCCCGCCCCCTTTATGTCCCAAAATACAGACGCAAACCTGTTGCTCCCGAGCTCAGGAGGCGCATATAGCTCTGACAACACAGCGAGCCGGGGGGCAGCGGGGGTGAAGTGGTCGTAGATGCACCGCCAGAGAGGAAGGTGGAGGAAAATCATCCGTCACTTCAAGTGGATTCCTTCGAAAGGTTAGTTTGATCATTCCCCAGCTCCTGCGTGCACCCAGAAACCGATCTGCCCGTGCAGCACATAATCTCTTTTCCGAGATGTCATTGTGCATGAGTTTTCCAAGGCTTATAAATAACAACTGCTCTTGCTTTGACCAGATGAGAGGAAGGATGCATGCTGAGAGAAGTCCTCCATGGAGCTTGATGGGACTTTAATGAGTTGCTGCCGAGGAGTCTTTCTGCAGCTTTGGTCACACATGTGAAACCCAACTGGAAGCTGGAAAACTGGCATGGACGGCGGCAGATATCTGTAAAACACTCTGAGAAGGAAGGAGTCGAAAGTGAAAAATTCTTTTGGTGAAGAACTCGGTTTATTTAAAGGACGTGAACCGGAGAACCAAGTGAAAGACAGGAGAAGGTTTGGAGCTCCGTACCGACCGGCCTATTGCTCATTTGACTTGATCTCAAGCGGTGGTGAAGGACGCTGAGACAGCCATGGATGAAGCTGCAGAGGTTGGTCAGGAGGTGATGGTGAGTGAGGCTCTTGTCCAGTTCAAGACCACCTTACAAGCTGCCGTCAAGGAGGTGCACGTGGACGTAAGCGCCTTCAAGCAGCGCATCGAGAAGAGGATCGAGGACCTGTGCATTTCCAACGGACCCTTGGCCGAAGCGGTGACCAGACTGCAGGAGGAGAACCTGCAGCTTAGGGCCAAGCTGGAGGTCCTCAGCCGCCTGGTGGAGGGTCTGGCTGGGGTGCAGATCGACAGGAGTCCTGCTGAAGTGAAGGCGAAGGGCGAGGTGAAAGGTATAGAGAATGGACATGTACAGATAGAACCCAAGACCCAGGAGGACCAGAGGGGACTGGGTCACTCTGGAAGATCAGAAAGCAACCAGTCAAGCCAGTCCACGATCTCTGAACCATCAGAGTCGAGTGGAGGATCGAGCCACGCTGCTGCTGCTGCTGCTGCCACTCCCAACAACACCCCAACCCCTCCTCCATGGAGAGCAAGGAGACACGCTGAACTTAACGTAAGTATCCAACCTGTTTTCTACATGTGGACTGTAGCAACGGAGGCAGACCGCCATGAATGAAATGAACGTGTGGACAGCAGGTATAAGATGTTGTACAGGTCCTCATCACTACAGAACCCCCACAGAACCCGTCCTTCCAGCTAACGCCCACCGGTTTGTGACTTGAGGGGACAAAAATGTCAAGAGTCGTTGCTTTAAGAAGCACAAAACAGTAACTGATGAGGAGCTGGATTACACACAGCAGTAGACAGACCTTTCTTGAGAACGTTTCATTACCTACTGACTCACATTTGTTCACAAGTGGCTTATAGGCAGTTTATATGAATTTTTAATGAGTTAGTCCCTCACTTGATCCTTTAACTTTGCTCACAGTCAGGTGTTCACAGCCTGTGGAGCTGCTTTTTTGGGGGTGTGTTGCTTGACGTGAGGGTGAGATGATGAAAAACAACCCAGGAAGGCTGGGTTTAGGCTCACCAAGGATTTCACAAGTTACAAGTGACAACAACTTTATTTCTGCTGCAACGGTCATGAAGTGAAGAGTAGAACTGTAGGGCTCCATGAAGGCCATTTCATGGATCTGTGTTTCCTTAAGGTGATGTAAATTTCATCTTTCCCTAAGTCTGCGAAATCCATGTCGACCCGTTTGTACACAGTCGTGAAGCCCAAAATTTGTCTCTGCACAGCGACTGTGCTACAAGGGAAGCTGTGGACACACTTGGCAGTAACACATGTACGGAACCAAGTCCTCCAGGTGAACCAGAAAGTACTCCATCCATCCATCCATCCATCCGTTATCTATTCACCACTTAATCCTCTGTAGGGTCATGGGGGGCTGGAGTCTATCCCAGCTGACTCAGGGTGAAGGCAGGGTTCACCTGGACAGGTCGCCAGCTTCACACTCACATTCACACCTACGGACAGTTTAGAATCACCAATTAACCTCAGCATGTGTTTGAACTGTGGGTGGAAGCCGGAGAACCCGGAGAGAACCCACGCTGCACGGGGAGAACATGGAGACTCCACGCAGAAAGATCCCGGACCGGGAATCGAACCCTTCTAGCTGTGCAGCGACAGTGTTAACCACCTCATCAGAAAGTATTAAAAGAAAAATTCAAGACAAGGATACATGCAAAGTTTATCACCTGCCCAAGTCTTAGTGTCCACTCAGAGAAATCCAAGTGCAGCCGCATGGACTGTCCACACTGCAGACATGCGAAGGAAACAAATGCTGCTTTAAAGAAATGCTTATTGCTGCCACACACACCTTCATCGGTCATCATTAAAAGAGTTGTAGTCAAAGCAGTCACTGCTGGACCTTGGAGGGCCCAAACACAGCAGGAGGTTCTACATTCTCCAGATATCTTGTGTTACGTCTGCACACCTCAGAAATACTCACATTTACATGACATCCTAGTTTGAAACCAGCTGCTGTATCATGTAAGAAGTGTAAAGTTACAGGCAGCCTTTCAGAAACAACAACAGGAGTCCACCGTTATCTGGGTTTCATATCAACTGAACCTTCGTATGAACTGAACCACGTCGGCTGTCAGCTTTCACAAATGTGCCCTTGCATGTGCTCCACAGGCATAGCGTTGTGTTTGACTGATGTGTTACCACTTCTACACCGCCAGCAGTTCGGACTTTTTGTCCAAGTTTACCTCACATCAGCCACACTTAACCCCGTCCAACATCCTCTCCTGGGCGGCTTACCTGTACGTTGGCAGACTCACAAGAGATCATCTTCCCTCATCAGGCGCTCAGACAATGCACGGGTGCACTTTGCATGATCCTTCCAAATGTCATTATAGATCGCTGCGGCGTCCGACCAGAAGCCGCGCTGCTCGCTGGAACGTGGCTCTGCAGCAGCAATGGCATGACTGTACAGTATTTGAGCATCACCCTGACTGCTCTGTTCCAGGTAGGAAAAAAATAACCGTTCAAGAGATCGGACGAGCTTACGAACTGAGCCGACCTGATCAGTAAAGCCCTCCATACGAGAGGATGCATCAGAGTCGGGCTTCATGATGAGGGCTCGACAGGGAGCTTGGGTAGTATATATTTAACCCCTGACTCCAGCAGTGTCTGTGGAGAACCCCGATAGCGCTGCTGTAGAGGTTCAGCATCACTTGCTGAAGACTTTATCGTATCATTTTCAACTGCAGGGCAATAATAACAGCGTGTAGTATTATTAACCTAGATTATTAGGTTTTAAAGTGACACCATTATGTATCCTTTCTAAAAATAACCCCACCACAATCACTTGCACCCTTCCCCACCCCCGCATCTCAGTGCTCACGGCTGGCTTTTATAACCACAGAGGTAACAGCAGGTCCTCCAAAGGGCACATGTATTTTTGGGTCTGTGATTTGGGGAGTGAGCTGCAGCTCGTTCTGCATGCTCCCTGCCAGCTGCAGCTTCCCTCCTTATCTTCAGCACACCCGCTCTCTCTGCATGCATGAATGGAGGCAGGAACACATGCGAGGAACTCAAGTCTGAATTGTACCAAAGTTATAAACTAAAAGCCACGGTCAGGGACGCGGCGGACGACATGACAAACGGGGACAGCATTCTACTCCACATGCTTCCAACGGTGGCTTCAGCACACATATCATGTGGCGACGCATGACGTAACTCACATGCACGCTCCACAGACAGGTATATAAATAAATCCCCCGTCCCCTAATCGCTCAGGAATCTCGCTTCCAGGCCAATCCAAGTCTCAGGTCTCCTAATGGAAAATTGAATTGCATCTACGTCCCTGTCAGATGAAACCCCCAAACCAGCAACCCGGAGAGAGACGACCAGCTGTCCTGTCGAAACACACACCCTGCCAACATTCCCCTGCTCTGAAGTCACCCGGTCTTTTCCCGACCGTCGGCCCGACGGCGGTGACGTACGACCGCTCAACCCCCCGCCATGAAGACAACGGTCTGACTCATCAGTTGATTGCTGCTCCATCATTTTCAAATCTGACATTGTGCAGCAAATTCTCATGTTGGTGGGATTCGAAATTCTCCACAAGTCCAGCTCCACTAGAGCTGCAACAGTTAGTCGATTATTTGTCGACTTTTACATTTATCTGCTACTCTGATAATCAATGAAATGGTTCCAGTAGAGCAAAATCTTCCTCTTTAGTTGTGAAATGCTTCTCTCTCTGTTAACCAGCTAGTTACTCACTTTATCTGCAATAATGTCCAGCGGGTTTGTCAGCATTTATGGCAGCTGGAAGGGAGCTGTGAGTGAACCTAACAGCACATTTTCAGGTTTTGAAATCATAACAATAAGCTGCTGAGAGGTGCAGGGCCTCACAGCTCCTCTGTGAGTTTGAGTACGAGCAGCTAGTGTTGCATTAGAGCAATTCATGCTTTCAAAACAAGCGCTTGTTTGGTGGAGAGACTGTGGAAGGAGATTCTCCATCATCCACACCTTCATGATTCATCATTTAAAAAGCTGTAATTGCTGCCACACTTTGGGGTGCTTTGGTTTGTACATTTTCCATCGATGGAACCCAAAAGACAACAGGAAGTTCTGAATTGTCCAGAAACGCCGGGCGAGGTCTGCACACTGGTCACGCCTCAGGAGTAAATCACTGATTGCTGCTGCAGTTTGATCTATAACTGGCTGCTGGAGTCAGCAAGAAGCACAAAATCACAGCTTTCAAACGCATCCACGGCAGCCTGTGGGGATTTGTTTGTGTCTGATATGAGGGACGGTGAGATGTAGCTGTTGTTGTATGAATGGGATGTCATCAGTCAGCACATAGCGATGCAGAAACCACGAATAAGCCTTCAGACACTTGGATCATGGACTGGCAGGTGTCTGAGCGTTACCTGGTTGAGCTGTTAGCAGCATGTACGTGTGTTTGCAGAATATACAATAAATGTTTTTTTCCCAATTAGGAAAACAACAACAGGTAGAATGTATGAAAGAGCTGCTGTTTCATTTCATCAAAGCTTTCACCATCATTAGTCGTGTAAAAGAACTTTTCCTCCTGTGATCGGTGTCGGTGGGTTTCCAACCAAAGTATGTCTGCATGTTTCTGAGAAGGATCTGGAGTGATGTGGAGGTAAACCCGGCCAGAGGTTGAAGGGATTAGCAGGGTCAGACAGAGTCAGACTGATATATACAGCAGCTACCGTGGAGCCCACATATCACCGTGGTGCTAATCTGCCTTCTCACTATGAGTTGATGGACTGGCTGCAATGGCTGTGTTACGTGGCGGCCCGACCACCGCCTGTCTCTGGAAAGCTAAAGCGCTCAGGGGGTGGGAGAGGGGGCCAATGCAGGCCAAAGCCTCGGGCCGATATACTTAGGCGCTGTTTGAACTGCTCAGGCTAACTCCATGATTTCCAAAGCATCCATTTGGGGCTATATTGGGACGTAAGAAGAGTGCAGCGGAAACTCTTGCAAAGGGGCTGATTGCAAAATCTAAAATAGGCTCTCAGTGGGAACATGGGTTTGTTGGCCACAGCTGTCATTAGAGGAGAAGCTGTCAGCTGTTAACAGCTGAAGATCACACATGCAGAGAGGAGAGAACACACAGACACAGATTTATCCTGGACGAAATTAATTTTAGCTCCACAGCAGGCAGCAGTCTGCACAACAAAAGGACCGTCTCTGTTTGTTGTGAGCGAGTCAGACTGAAAACCACTGAGTGATGTGGCTGAAGTACAAATAGGCACCGACGCAGAGCTGCATGTTACGTAACGTATTTACCTTCCTGAGGTGACAGCGAGGAAACAAACAGATTCTTTGCACAGTTCTTCATCAGTTATACATTATATTTACTTTTCTTTTCAAACCGAACCCTCTGCATCAAATTTTCAGCAGATTATTTGTTCTGCTTTCACTTTAGGTTTGCATCAGCCTCTGCCATTTTTCAGAGGTCTTGATGATGGCAAAGCTGATGTGCTGCGGAAACCTCGATGCCTCAGTTTCTGGGTGTTTCTGCTCCTGTCAACATTTTACAGACTCATTTTTAACTGCACCTCTATGGAAACAGCACAGCCACGACTGGAGAGAGAGAGAACTCTGAAACGTCTTTTGTGCAGCATGATACAGTTATAATACCATAAATCGTAAAAAAGAAAAGGCAGGAGTTGAGTTTGTTCGAGTTGCAATATTTGAAAAACCTGTTTGACATACTGTCTCATATCTGCTCTGTGTGAACAGTTCAACCGACATGTTCCTGCGTTTTTGTCCTGCAAACGTTGGTTGCAGTTGAGTTATTCGTGCAGAAGAGCACAGACCTCGTCTTCACAAACCTCTTCTTGTTTTTAACAGAATGTTGGGAGTGCAAAAGGTTTATTAGGATCCGAGCACTAACAGTGTAAGGACCGTATTGTAACCCTGAGGTTTCTTATTATTTTGTACCGGCAAAATGAACTGAAATTAGACGACCTGAACATGCTTCAAAACTCACCAAAATAGCCACACACACCAGGACTGGCGAAAAATGTGATATTTTAAGGAACGTGGACACGTCACTGCCACAACGGCTCCACAGCGCCCCCTTGAAAATTTCAACGAAGTTCTGTCAGAAGCATGTTTGACCTACAGCTACACAATTTGGTAGGAATATAGAGCAGGTCAGGAAAAACAAAAAAGTCCACCCACTCCAAGCTCTGAAATGCAACACGGCTCAACTGCGCCCCCTACAATAAAAGGAGTCCCATCGGGCCTACGTTTGACATAGAGCTACAAATATTGGCACACATATGTAGCAGCTCGGGACGCACAAAAAAGTCCATTAGCATGTTTCTGTAAACCCAACAGGGAATCCGCCATGTTGGAAAAATGGCGAGCACTACAGGCCATTTTCACTCATTTTTGACCATTTTTGGGCATTTTCAAAATCGATCTCCTCCTAGGGGGTTCGTCGTACACACCTGAAATTTGGCCAGCACAAACTACAGGACGTGGTGATTACAAGTCATTGAAACACTCCGCAAAAGTCTGACGATGTGGAAATGGCGGCCCACACAATTGCAATGAAAGGCCATTTTGTGCATTTTCGCTGTGTTTCCGGCATTAAACGTTGTCCCGTCCCGTCAGAAGGTCGTTTCACCTACAGCTACACAATTCAGTGGACATGTGTAGCGGGTTGGGACGCACTAAAAAGTCAATCAGCGCCAAGCCCTAAACCCAACAGGAAGTCCGCCATTTTGAAAAAACATGGTGAAAATTTTTGGCCATTTTCTGCCATTTTCAAAATCTATTTCCTCCTACAGGGAAGGTCGTACACACCTGAAACTTTGCCAGCACAAACTACAGGATGTGGTGATTAAAAGGTAGTAAAACACTCTACAGAAGTCTTACGGGGTGGAAATGGCGCCCCCTGGAACTTGGCCGGAACGCCATAAAATGCCATAAAACAGGACGTGCTGTGTAACTGACCTGTAAGTGCTCCAATCGGCCTGAAACTTTACACGCGTGCTCTGAGTCTCAGCTAGCGGACGCTTCCATCACGGCCAACACGTACGCCGCCGTGGCTCGCCATTAAACAGGAAGTGGCTCATAACTAGGCCACACGTGCTCCGATCTGCCCCAAACTCGACAAACTGGATCAGAGTCCCGCCCGGAGCACGTTTGCGTGAAGGCCGACAAGCGTACGGCGAGGACCCGTCCGCCGCCGCTTGCAGCTCTAATTTTTGTATTTTTATTTTTAAATGAGATGTAAAATAAAGTGATTTTGATGAAATAGCAAAATTTTAAGCTTAGATTTGCTGAGTGTTTCCGACAACAGCGTGTCCTCGATGAGTATCTGAAGGACTGTCTGAAAGTAGAAAATCTGCCAGTTCTGTCTGTTTTCACCGTTTCTGGCATCATTTCAATTCCATCATATTTTTCATGTACAACACGCCTTTTCGAACCTGCCGGCAAATTTTGGGTTTGAAGAGGGTTTAAACCTCAAAGAGATAAAGTTGAATCCTGATTTTTTTTTACGCTGAATTTCCATTTTACCACTAAAGTACTTAAATCAGTGAGGATCTGATGTGACTCCTTTACACTGGACAGCTCGTGTCTCTTCCAGAACTCAGCCCTCCTTCAAAAGCGATGCGTTGAAACACGGTGAGGAATATCGTGGAGGAGGAAACACCTACTTGTGGATTAATAATTTAGCTTTCACTGAATTTAGCTCAAATTATTATCATATTAACTAGTCAGAGATCAGATAAGATAATAAAGTCATGTGAATGCCATTTGTTTTCTTTACAGCTGAATGATGATGTTGCTTCTACACTGACCAAGATAGATAGATAGATAGATAGATAGATAGATGGATGGATGGATGGATGGATGGATGGATGGATGGATGGATAGATAGATAGATAGATAGATAGATAGATGGATAGATGGATGGATGGATGGATGGATGGATGGATGGATGGATGGATAGATAGATAGATAGATAGATAGATAGATAGATAGACAGAACTTTATTGATCCCTTTGGTATGAACCTCAGGGAAATTGTTGAACCTCGACGACAGAATTAAACGTTTTGCTCTTCGTGTCTGTGCTGAACAGGGCACTGATGCAAAAGGAGAGAAAAATGTCGCCACAGCTGCACAAGAGAGTCACAAACTGCCAGGTAAGCAGCTGCTCCCCGAGTTCTGTACAAGGTTCTTGAGAGGTTGACCCGACGTTTGCTTTTTAATTCTCAGAATCAGCCGACAGCGCTGAAGCTGCTCCCCAGTCGCACCAGCCTCTGACCGCCATCACCAAACCCAGTCTGGAGGCAGAAACACCCAGCGTACCAGGTCAGCTCATGTCCTCCTCATGTCTGATAAACTCCCACTACAATGTGTGTTCCTTATGCAAGCGCTCTGGCTTCATCCAGATGACCTGCTGAGTGAGTTTAAAGATGAAAACGAAACTTCATGTAATGAAATCAATGTGTAAAAGTCTGCAAATAAAACCCTCCACATGGCAGACAGCAGGAGACTAAAATGAACACGAAGTGCTCGTTGCAGCTGATTGTTTTGAATGTGCACAGAAATTCAACCGGTTTCTTTCAGAACCTGAAGAATCGGATCTTCTGAACAAACCCCACCTTCCTCTCACTGCAATGATGAAAGCCAACGCTGAAGCTCCAGCTGTGGAGTCTCCTGCAAAACATGGTGAGATTCTGTTTGTTTATTAAATATAGTTTTTGTTTTTGTTCAACCACAACTTTAAAACTCAGCTGTAGTTCTGTCGTATGTCTCCCCAGCTTGGAGATCAGCAGACAGACGCTACAGGGTGTTTGTAATCCTCCGTTCCATTTTGACTTCATCTTTTATACAGATTCTCTGTTTTTCAGATGCTGCTGAACCTCAGCCTCACCTTCCCGTCACTGCCATGACGACTAAACCCGGCTCAGACGGTGTTCTTGCTGCCAAAACTGCTCCGTCTCCAGCATCAGCACCGAAAGCTGCCGGTCTGTCTGCAGCAGGGGAAGCAGGAGAATATCCTTTCATAAGAGGTCAGTTCAGTCCTACGCTGTTGTGTCCAGATGCTACAGGTTATGGAGACGCTGATAACTGGTCGTTTTTCATTCGAGTAGGATTAGATCTCGTGTTTCTGTCTGAAGTTTTGAGTGGACAGGTTTAACTGGTCATAAACTAATGAGAGTGATGCAGATTTCTCCTGTTACAAGCCAAAGAATCAGCACTCTACACACTTCTTACTATCTGCAGCGGCCACAAAAGTGTTCAGGACACCTAAAGATGTTTTAATTTCACTGCATCAGGCAAGAAAATGTCAAAACTAATGAAATTTATTTTAAAGAAAGCTCACAGAGGAACGTCTGTCAAGCAAAATACTCCACGAAAAGGTGTTTATTTAATGATAAAACATCGATAAAAGGTTGAACGGGGTTATTTTCATGGAAATAAAACTTCTCAATGTGTTGCTTTAATACACAGAGAGGAGCTTAAAACAATCGCCAACATCATTTATTAGGAACGTATGAGGTCAGGTAACCTTAAGTTACAAATACATTCATTCAGAGGTCACAGTTCATCACATTAATGATCAACATGTACGTTTGTTGTTGTTATGTTGGTGTGTGGTTGTGTTAAATGTGTTTGTCTGCACATCAAATACAACTTTATCTGACATCTTCATAACTAATTCAGTGAATCCTATGGAAGTTTACTGACACTGTAGTCACCATGGAAACCACTCATCCAGCGGCCTGTACCATCCTTTAACCAGTTACCATAGCAACCCTGTTAGTAACCACCTACTAGTAGCCGAGCGACAACCACTTTGGTAGCATCCTCCCAACCAGCTGAAGGACTCCACAAACCTGTGAAAACACAAACAATCAGGCGAGAGTCACAGAAACCATCAGTACATAAAAAACACTCGAACCACCTTCAGCTCTCCGTGTGTCAAGAGTTCAGCTGTCTGGGTTCCTCATGTTCTTCTTCACAAAACACATACAAAAGTTCTTATTTTCTTTCCGTCTGTTCTGGATTCTGAAGGAGATCTGAGGTCTCAGGCGTCCCAGGATCAGTCCGGCTCAGAGCTTCATCTTCTGCCACATCTTCCCCTCACGGCTGTGACCAAGAGCAGCTCCGAGGCTCCTGCTGCACCGAAGCCCGACCAGAGTCCTGCAGCGCTGAACCCCTCAGTGCCGGAGTCACCGACGACAAAGCGAGGCGACTATCCGTTCAGACGCGGTGTGTGCAAGGCTGAAGTATCGGCATTGTTGTGTCATGAAATAAGTGTATATGTGTGAAAAGGCTCATGGAGGTGAGGGAATGTGTTGTTCATGTCTTTCCTCTGTAGACGTCGGAGAACCTAAGCCTCACCTGCCTCTGTCTGCCATGACCAAACCCAACACCGAGTCCTCACCGCCGGCTGCACCGGCTCAGCCTCCGAGTCTTTTAGCATCACAGGAACCTGCAGTAAAACCTGGGGAGTATCCCTTTAAACGAGGTGATTCTAAAACACACATCGTGGGTAGCTGCAGGTTTTGAGATTCTCAGTTCCCGTTCCTGGGATGTGGGATATTTCATGTTGTGTTTGTCTCGTTTCAATGATTCAGTGCCGGTTCTCAAGACTCCCAGCCCCAGTCTGAAGAGAAGCGTGAGCTTCCCTCAATCTGCAGGTAGAATTTGATGCATCTGTTTGGCCAAAGAGCACGTTTACGTTCCATTTGAAAGCTAACATCTATGAGTTTGGTTTACGCCTGATACGAGTTTCTCTGACTTTGTCTTTACAGAGAAATTACTTCCCTCCAAATCAATCATAAAATCCGGCTTCTCGCCTAATTTGGACAAGTAAGTGGAACCTTGCTTTGTGGCATTACAGAGTCCATGTTGTCCTCATTCACAGGTTCATTCTTTTACTTAAGGAGATCTATCAGAACGTGTTTACCTGCTCTAACGGTGAAAAACAAACCTCAGATCTCTTGAGTGCAGCTGGAGAGTCGTAGTTTCTGCAGATGTCAGCTGTAGTGAGGAGATAATGTCGAGGAAGCTGCTCGTTGTCTGTTTGAAACTAAGACAGGACTTATGCAAATGTCTTCCGTGGTGATGTCAGTACGTGACAACAGGAAATGAGGTGTTTCAGGTCTGCAGCAGTGTTTTCTGCAGGAGGAATAACTGGTCTTTGCAAGTGTTCAGACCTTTTCCATGCACACTGAAGTAATTTGGGCTCTTTAACGCTGACTGTGGCCACGTCGACTGCTGCAGTCAACACGTATTTGCATTTCCCTTCAAACTCCATGTGATGATTCAGCTTTGTTTTCTCTCCACAGGAAGCTGAACAAGCCAATGGGGGTCGAGTTTAAACCGGATCTGATGAAGTCACAAACGCTCCCGCGATCCAACGGGGCTCAAGCCAAACGGGCCATGTTTGAAAGGATGAACTCGGAACCTACGAAGTGAGATGGGCAGACGGATTAAACAGTAGCGCCAAATGCTTAAAACTAGCTGTAGTCAAACTAATGATTCTGTAGAATGAGAGGTAATGAGAACAGGTACAGCAGAAACCGATGATGAACGCTTGAGCTGCGGCGCCGTAAACCCAATGAAACCCCGTCGTCACGCAGCGCTTGTTGTTGTTTAACATCTTGATGGCAAATGTAATCAAATATTTTCATCTTCACTTCACTGAATTGGGCTGTTTTTTGTTTTTTTTTATCTCACTCAAACAGGACAAAGGACTCGAAGCCCAAACTGAAGCGCTCTCAGAGTTTTGGAGTTTCCAGCGCCAGCGGAATAAAACAGATTCTCCTGGAGTGGTGTCGCTCAAAAACCATCGGTTACCAGGTGTGACGGTGGGACGTAGGGCTCTGTTTAGTTGTTTCCCACAATAAGATCCACGTCTGACTTGTTCTAGAGCTTTAAACCCTGTTGAATGATCTTCAGGAGGAGCCCACTTTGTTTGGACTTCATTGTTTTTCTCATTCATGTTGGTTTAAAAGTGAAGGTTCAAAGTTAACTCTCGCTTTTTAAACTAACTTTTCTGTCACTGTCAGAAAAAAAAAAGTAAATGTAAACATGTTTGAGCTAACCATAAGTGTCCAGCACCAGCAGAGTAGGTGAGAAGCTGCTACTGCTGTGATCATTCCCACCGTCTCCCCCTCAGAACATAGACATCCAGAACTTCTCGTCCAGCTGGAGCGACGGGATGGCGTTCTGCGCTCTGGTCCACTCGTTCTTCCCTCTGGAGTTCGACTACAACAGTCTGAACCCTGCAAACCGCAAACACAACCTGGGCCTGGCCTTCACCACCGCAGAGTAAGCTGGTTAGAGAGGACCGAGTGCAGGCAGCAGGATTACACTGAAGTGTGTTTGTAGTAAAGTGAGAGGTGTTCTACGTGCAGCGGTAGCTTTTAATTGGCTGCGATGCTTTCAAAATGTGTCGCAGTGCAGTGGAATGGCGTTGGTGTTTTTTATACAAGGAATTTATCAAAGTTAAAATCTGGAGGATTTCAGTTCTGGTCGGTCTGGCGACACCTGTAGTCAGTGCAGAGAAAAGCAAACGTGGTTTAAATCTGCAGGTCACAGAGTTCTAAAGGCACCACAGTTAAAATACACTTTGTAGCCTCAACTTTACACTTTGTACATGTGTATTTTGGGCTTTTTAACGTTTGCTGATGGATATTTTTATGTGTAAAAACACTTAAACCACTTATAATGATGATAATTTATGTGCATGTAGACGTATGAAAACACGTCTAATTATACAAGATATTTCCAATTTAACAAACAGCTGCAGAAGCAAAAGTTCTTTTTCTGTTATTAAATCTTAGGAGTACATTTACAAAGTGAAACTTCAACGTCGTCACCTGAAAGATGAGTGAATTTTGCATAAGCAGGCGATTGTTTGACTTTCTCAAATCAAGCTTCATTTTAAGTCTCACCAGCTTTAGGTTAAATCAACATGCTAACATGCTAACAGAGCTAACGTTTGGCAGGTTTAGTGTTTATCATGTTAGCACGCTAACACACTTAGCTTAACGTGTTAGCATTTGCAAACATTTGTAGCCAAATACGACAACCTGTTAAAATACAACCAACAGGTTAAACCGTCAGTTCCACCAAACAGTGATTTTTCTCCAAGAACGTCTCCATTATTTCAACAAATGTTTAAACGATTCAAAATCTGTAAATAAATAAATAACAGGGAAAAACAAAAACAACCAGTGTCAGAACTCGGTTGTTTTCTTCGTTTGTCCCCCATTAATCGTGTTGTTCGGAGCCCTCGGTTGCGTCTGCTGTCCCTGAATATCAAACTAAATATAAAGTAGTTCAAACCTGCAGCAGCTGCGACGCGCCGCTGACATTCTGATGCTAATAATCTCCTGATGACAGATATAATGAGACCAATACTTTCATGCTGGGTCCACATTTTGCTGCTAATATACTTTTGCTTAAGGATGAGTTTTCATCTAAGAATTTTTGGGAAAAGTCAACAGTTTTGCAGATATTTGCTCATAAACTGAGATATTAAACCATACAGTGGCACAGCAGCTGTTTTATCGTGTTTAAAGCATAGATCTGTGTATTTTATTCCTGTTTATTTCTGTGCTTGTGTTTCAGGCAGCAGGCCGACTGTCTGCGCCTGATCGAGGTGGAGGACATGATGGAAATGGGGGACAAGCCGGATCCCATGTGTGTGTTTACATACGTCCAGTCGCTCTACAACCACCTGAAGAAGTTCGAATGACTCTGTATCAGAGCGGACGCCAAAGTCTAGATGTCGTCAGAAAAGCACAGTTTTCTCTACCAGATTTTAAATTATCAGTTTTATACTGTTTGTGTGCCTTCACCAGTTTTCCACTGTGTTATCAGCATCTATAGCCGACTACTGATCCTTTAAATGCGGCTTCTTGTTATTGTGGCGAGTGTGGCTCAGATGTTGCTGTTTTTGCAAAAGAAAAAAAAAAAGAGGTTAGTTTTTGTGTAATTATCAAGTTATTAACGATGTCACAATAAAAACAAAGAAAGATTTTATTGATGGATCAGTGTTTGATGGCAGAGCAGCGGCGAACGTGGTCGAGAAGTGAAGCTTCAGTGAGTATGATCCTGTTAATGTTTCAAAAATGAGTGAAGAAGAGGCACTGTGGGTTTTTTCAGAGGTGCAGGATTACAGGAGACACATTGTGTCGCTCAAACGGGTTTGAAGTTTTTAGAGTTTGCATCACAAGAACAGCTCTACAGGTGTACACATGAACCAGTACGAAGTTGTGTATTATTCAGCATAAGTCCAAGAAAACATCACAAACACCTTCATCCAAATGGAAACACTCTGATGCACCATCCATCCATCCATCCATCCATCCATCCATTATCTACACACCGCTTCATCCTCACTAGGGTCGCGGGGGGACTGGAGCCTATTCCAGCCGTCTTAGGGCGAAGGCAGGGGACACCCTGGACAGGTCTCTGATGAACCAGCAGTTTACAAATATGACAATAAAAAGATCCGGGATGTTATCATCATTTAGCTCTTTAGGCTCCACATCAGCGACTCAGCTGGTCAGCACATGATGAAGACGTGTGGAAGGACTGGGGTTTGGTAAAGTCAGTGTCTGGTTACAATTTTAAAAAATTAAAATAAAACTAAAGGCTCATTAAACTGAGCATCAACCTGTCTGACAGAATGCACACTGCCACCTACTGGTAGAACAAAAATAGAACACAAGACCGGCGACTTCCAGTACAGTTTTAATATTATTTATAAATGTTTTGAAAAAATGAGGCTTTTAACTGTTTCATAAGTCCTTCCCTCCTGTGTGTGCTTAGCTGATGTATGAAAATACAGGAAAAAAGCTCATTCTGTTTTTAATTAGTCAGGTAATTCAGTATTGTAGGTTGTAGGTTCTTCGCCTTGGCATCTAAACCGGTCGATTTAAATGATGAACACCGTTGTCGAGTCTGAATGTTTAATTTATTCAGGTGACTCTGTGTAAAACAAATAATATTGTAGGGTCTAATATTTAAGTTAGAAGGTAAATTTGCATAATATTTAACATTATATAGAAATTAGCCACATATATTTGTACGATGCATCATATTTTAGCATCTAAACTTTCCTATTTGCACTTGCTGGGTAACATAGAAAACAAATAACACTGTAGGCTCTTTACTTTAATATCTAAATTAGTCAGACACATTTTAGAATGCATTTTTTTAAGTTCTTAAATATTTAAATCAATTAGATACATTTATGTAATTAATACTGTTGTAGGGTCTTTACATTCAGGTTAGTAAAGAAACCTCATATAATTATTAATATTAGAGGATCTTAACCACAACCTTCAAAATGTTCCGGTAAATGTATAGAATTAAAAATGATGTTTTTCTTCATATTGAAGTCAGGTACATTTATAGAAAAAATAATATTGCACAGCAATAACTTTAATATTTATATAAGTCAAGTATATTTACACAATAACTAATATGAAGGGTGTAAACGTTCATACTGAAACTTAAAAATAAACTTAAATATGTTTCTCAAACGCAAATTTTAAATGTCGTATCTTATTGATCTACTGGAGTACACTCTGACTAAGATCACACTTGATCACAGCCTTTTGTATTTTCGGTTTGTGTTTGATATCGCAACGTTTGGTGGAATCAAAAAAAAAAGTGGAATCAAAGTCGGTAATTTCCCATTTTTCCAAAACGCACGTTTGTGAAGTTCTGCGGAAAAGTTTAACTATGGTGCGTTCACGTCCTCCACACGGTCTGTTCTCACCGCGAGCAAACCTTAGCGTCCAATCACTTATCAGGATTTAAATGTTTTAAACTAGTAAAGTGAGGGAGCGGAGGCGTGTTGAGTGAACGAGGGGCGGCAGGACTGTAAAGTGTTGTGATATAACAGAAGCAGATAGACCGTTGGGTCGTGTTCCCATGTTTTTGCGGCTCGTGAATGCGGCGCTTCCCATTGACCAGGCATCCCTTCCGGTAGATGAGGTCAACTTTTCCCCAGATCCGCCATTTCAGTCCCGGAGTTTCTTGTTGCACATTAGTTTGAGTTAATTTCTCATTTTATCATAGAAGCGGTGAAGAATTGGGATTTTTTTTCGTGCAGCACAAGTTCTGACAACTTCACCGCCTCTTGGAAGTCGCTGAAGTCGGGGCGTTTTTCGTCTTTTCTTTTCTTTTCTTTTCCCAGCGGCGGTGTTAGTCAACCAAAGTTTTTGTATGAGTTGCGGATAGGGAGAGGCGAAGGGGAAAGGCCTCAAGCCTCGCACACTGTTCCGCAGCCATGGCCGGTAATTTTGATGCCGAGGACCGTGCTAGCTGGTACTGGGGCAGACTGAGCCGCCAGGAAGCCGTTTCCCTCCTGCAGGGACAGAGGCACGGCGTTTTCCTGGTCAGGGACTCCATCACCAGCCCCGGGGACTACGTGCTGTCCGTCTCAGAGAACTCCAAAGTGTCCCATTATATAATCAACAGCTTCAGCAACAACCGGCAGTCCGGCTCAGGTAACGGTTGGTCCTTTCTCACCTTGCTGGATGCTTCCCTGAACTCGCCCCACACGCTCACTGAACTCCAACGATTGCGGCTATTTTCATTTTAATCGCGCATTGCTGTGATTTAGCCCGGGTCCGTCCCACTTTTGTCTGTCGTGCCAAGCTCCCGTTACGAATTGTCTAATTTTACAAGATTTCGGCAAAGCTACTAATATACCTGCTCTTTACTGCAAAGCTGCACGTGTTTTCTATGCTTTGGAAGCTACGTTTAAAGTCGGTGTATGTGTAATATTAAAATATTAACTTAATCGACGACAATAAGAACTTTAGCATGTGGCTTACAGCGCTTGCAGCCGCCCACCGCTGCTATGCTGAGCCGTGTAGCGGTAGCATTAGCTAGCCACGCTTTATTACTGACATTAGCAGCGAGTGGTGTTTTATTTTATTTTTTGGAGACTCCGAATATGTCAGCTGTATCAGTTTAACAGTGTGGTTTAAAATAAATTATGTTGTACGAATTGTGTATCACGACTGAGCAAAGTCGAGTTAAGTTGTGTACTTTTTAAATGGAGTTTGGTGAAAACTTTGCCTAGCTGCTAGCTACCAGCCAGGCTCCAGTTACTCCAGCACCTCACTGGAGAGCACGGATGTGTTCGTCCTGACTCGGAGGGATGAGGCTCGGCAGGCAGCGGTGGTGAGCTGGGCCGGGCTGCCTGGATGGAACCGGGCAGGTCCCGCTGTCACAACCGGGGGATGACTGGTCAGACTGGCGTTTCAGGAATGTCTCTGATCCGCACACAGACACAGCCCTGCTTACAGGTCTGCCACCATGCTCTCAGCCCTTAATGCTTATTGCACAACCCCTCTCCTTTCTGGACTTCCCGTGCATTGGGTAATTTACTTATTTATTATTTTTAAATGCCTCCCTGTAGTAAATCAGCAGTGGCCTTTTAGGCAGCCAGACTGCATGAAAAGTGATTTATGTAACAGCAATCGAATGTCTTTTGAAATCACAAGCAAGTGGTTTATATTTATATCTGTATTGAACAGTACTGAGATGAGCTGAGCTGTGGCACCAGAACAGAACCAGGGACTGAAACAACCAGAGGTTATGAATGCGGCTGTTTATCTCTCCCAAAGTGACACACATCAAATTGGACTTATTGCCTGTACAAGCTGACTAAAACGAACCCAGCTGTCCATCCTGTTGAGCTGTTTGTCAGTGTTACTTGTACATTTTGAAGATCCCATCTGTATTAGGCTGTAATGAACAGAGTGGTAAAGAAGACTGCTAATGAGTCAGCTGTTCAGTTAAACATCAGCTGTTTTGTTTGAGTCAATCTTTAACAATAGTTTTTTTTAAAGGGCATCAAAACCCTCTGATTTCTAGCTTCTTAAATTTGAATATTTTCAGCTTTCTTTCCTCCTTCGTGACAATAAACTGAATGTCTTTGAGTTGTGGACTAAACCAGAGGACGCTGTCTTTGTGGTCGACATTTAGCTTAATTATCTGACATTTTATAGACTGAACAACTGATCGAATAAACGAGATAATCAATAATTACCGCCCTACTTCATGGCGTCGTTTGTGAGAAATTAAATCAGAGGGTTGCCCCAAACCATCCATCATCTCT